GACCACCCGTTGAGGAAACTCTTTATTGATACTGCTACTCGTGTTCGGTAGCGTTACACGGAACTCCGGATATCTTCTTATTGAAATTTCATTTATCCTTGCTCTACTCGGCACTCGGAAATGCCCAGTTTCAGCGCTGGAGCCGAAATTAGTAGCCCACCCCCGTGCTCAATTTGTATAATGACATTAGAGAGCATGGAAGAGAAAGATATTTCAGAAACCACCATGCTGTTATGTACCAGCTCTTTGGAGCACTTCACCCGAGTCCAGATAGGATGTATATCTGCTATTGGATAGTAAGGTCTATGCTGCCAAACCTGATAACAAATTTCGAATTCGGCGAGATTAATACTTCTTCTCCTCCACTTTAACGGCTTCATTCCTTGTCTTTCTTTTTCTACAACAACAAAGCCAGCTCGATTGAATACTGCTCTGTTCTTTACAAAGAATAAGACTTGCAAATTTATACGGTTTGAAGGATTACGTTGGTCAAATTATTACAGCCGTTACACTTTCAGATACAGTTTCGGGAGGAATGTGTCGGAGTGTCTTTAACCTGTGCCGTACGAAATTTTTAGCTCCTGATGTCGGTAATTGTACTATAGTAGAACTGTTATATAAGAATACTATCGGGACCCCGCAATAATAGAGAATATAGCCATTTATTCCCTTGTGTAGAGTTTCTGTTGTGCCCATATGCAAAGGGGTTGTGGTACGGATTTCGTAAGACTCAAATTAAGGACGGTTGGAGCAAGGGTGCCAGTGAGAACGGTGGCCTCAAAAAGAGACAGCCTGTATCTCAACCAACTATATTACTTGAACATGTAGGATTCGTTTCTATACCTAGTGATATAGAGCTCTTTCTTACGTCGAACTGCGCAGTAGGCCTACTTACTGTTCACAGATAGCAGTGACCCCGTGAATATCAACATCCCAAATTCATCAGCCTCACTGAGCCACTCTTCCACCCGCTTAGAGGCGTATGACTCCGTATGTTGTATTAGTAATTCACCCATCAGTACTTCCCTGCCCTTCCACACCTTGAACCAATTTCCATACTCTTCCCTCCATGTTTCATACTCCCGAGCCTCCCACAAACGTCTGCACACCGGAGCTGGGATGAAGTCGAGTTCATCACAGGAGTAAACTGGTATGCAATTCAGAAAGCAGACGACGCAGTCGAAGACGTATATCGCTAATACTGTTCGCTGTGCTGCGGAAGCAATTGCCCACAATTCGCGATCAGGAACCTTGCTAGAAATGTCGCCACTGGGAAATTCCATCATTGCCAGTAGACGATATGCCATCTCTTGAAGCTGGCCTAATACTAGTTGGGTGCCATATTTCGCCGTAGTATTGGAGTCGAGACATATCATAATCGAGTAGATCAAACTAGCTTGTAACGCCGCCAACAATTCGACCTGTTCATATGTGCGATGCTACGCTTTGCAATTAGCAGAATAGGACCTGATACTCCAGAGTGTCATACATTCTTATACAGCCTCTCAACCTCGCCTTGCATAGCGTTCAATAATATCGCATCCAAATTTCCTGTTCTGTGTTCCCACATCTTTGTCCAAGATAGACAATCCACAAGCGGCGTAGGGATGGTTCTAGACGTAGTTTGTAGCCGATGAATCATTGGTGGTAAAGCGCCGTCCCTAGCCATCATCTTTGGGTAACACTTTAGAACCTGCGTCATGAACCGGGCCGAGGCTTCGTTCACGGAGACTGTTCTATTCGGAGGTTTGAATAACGGGTTGACCCATCTACTGCGAATGGGTGAAAGCTTATCTTTACCGCCTAGAAAGATTAGTTTTGAAAGGGGTTTTGATTCGATGATGGGAGTACCAGAATCTCTTTGCCTCCAAGGGCAATAAATTAGCATCTGCGAAGATGGGTCCGAAAGAGTCGTGGTCTCTGAGGGGAGAGGAAGGGGTGATAAAAAAAATGGCGCCTGAAGTTGATACGASGAGCCATAAATCTCTGACATGCCCAGGGAGGACAAGGTGGAAGGGAAAGAAGTCCCTAATGAGACTAATGAGGTTTCTCCGAGCGCCGTAAGAGAATTGTCTGTTATCGTTTGCCTTCCATCCAAAATTAGTCGATATGTCCATGACTCTAATGCCTCCGACGATATTGCATCCCAATGCTCCGGTGCAATACCAGCCGACCGATCTGTAGAGACAGAGGAGGGATATCTACACTCCAAATTCTTCTCGCTACATCGCGAACAAGAAGGTTGTCGTAAGTCACAACGTGTCTTGTCACTTACACAATGGTAACAGGACTTCTGTCGTGGTGGTGTGGGCTGCTTTCGTCGGCAACGTCTAACGTGGCGTTTGTATGACGATTCTACCGTATCCAGTAAGCCTAGTTCTCGATACACGGACTGGAATACAACCTTGCTCGAAAGATTTTCGACAGATCGAACACTTAAAAGCTGACGGGTGGTCCGTAATCTCAGCCATAGAGGAATGTATCTAGAGTTTTATGTGACTGTGGTGGCCTGTTGTTAGTGAATTTGGGAAATTTGAACGAGGCAGAGTGCCTCGAAATAGGGTTTTCATGGCGCTTGCTCCTGGCCACGGAGTTCCGTGGTCACCTCTTTTAAAGATTCCGGAGTTCCGACAATATTGCCCAGTCCCTACCTAGCTCACCGCCTTCGCTGTGTTAGCAAAAGACACCTAGAGGGGCCGCTCAAGCCTGACCCACTAATTTTACACGTCACTGCTGAGGATGTATACGTACAGAATCTACGTAGTATACCTGTTCAGCGTCTCTTGTGGCCCATTTCATGACTGTATCGCTGCAGCCTAGTTCCCTAGTGAAAACTGTTACAGCTGAGAACCTGGCATGTTCACCGGGAGTGTGTACGCCGTCAGACAAGAGGACCGTGAATAGAGCTCCGAAATGAATAAATATGATCATTGACCTTGTTCATATTCATGAATTGATATCTCGGGGTGGACAATTTTCCGCACTAGCAAACMCCCGCCGCTATGTAGATATTTATCAACCGCCGCGGAAATAGCAGAATGCGATGCGAGTTTCTTCAGTTTATCTCATTTTAGCCATAATGGTATTAATTACTCCTAAACACAGATATAATACTCATTGTATGAGGTCTTTTCCTTATAACAACGAGAATCTCGGCCTAAGGACTCAGCGAAAAATATATCTGGAGTCCTCAAATTCAAAATAAATCTAGTCTATGGTATATATAATCATTGCATATAGTTTAGGTAGAGATAACCTAGGAAATGCTTTCTTACTTTGCAAGCATTGATTTCTGCTGAGATCTTCTAGAATGATTACTCTACCCATTTGTCATATAGCACGTAACAGTAGCACTAATACATTATGTGTATTGAAGTTTAACAGGTTGTTTACCTTCTTTGTTTACTTTATAGCTATGAATGGATTAGACTATTCAGATATGCCACGGACTAGCAATCTTCAGGTCCGAATCTGAATATTATTTAGTATATACATTGGGGGAATTGAGCTCTTTTAGGTTCCTAACCATCATTCCCAAATATCTGTCTCAAGTACTTTGCTTGATCTTGGAATAGTAGAAAGCGAATGCCCCCAACTATCCCTAACATTGACAGCTGCACGATATTATCTTCCTATTCCGTTTGTTGAAGTAGGTGTCGAGAGACTGTTCAGCAACACACGAGATGTTCTGGGTATTCGGAGGCATTATCTTACGTTATGTTACGGGCTAGTCCCGTCTGATACTCATTACAAGGGCATACCTGAACAGAAAATATGACATGAGAGAAGGAATGAGAAAGAAAGAAAAAGTTTCTTCACACGCATACACTCTTATATAGATGAGGGGTATCAGGAGCTTCCGACGGACTTTTCTGGGAATCCGGGATTGCTAGATATCGAGTATCTACTCGTAATTTACATGTGATCTAGGGATTGCTTCATGTTCGTGGTTGTCGGGGATCGGCGAAAGGCGCTATTGTCAACATCCGTGAGGGCTTCACCCGAACATGCTTATGAGGTCAGCCCATAAGACGTTGCCTGAATTCTGAGACGTTCAGATGGCTGATATTCCCTAAGGGGCAAGATGGTAAGAAATGCCGGAACTCGGCATAAAGACACTTAGAGACGGATTTCATCGATTTTAGCAGGTTTACTGTTTGTATATAGACTTTCTGTGATTTTTTCACATTTATTCTTAGGAGCAAGTTCAAACTTCAGATGCTTCCTTCACCATTTCCGAATATTCATGAATGATCATGAATTTAGTAAATATGAGTRSGAGCCATATCCATATTCGTTTCGGAGCTCTAACCGTTGATCCATATTACAGCATTGAATTTCTCTTGGGAATCTCTTCCGAGGGACACAATTCAATTATATTTTCAATTTCTGCTTCATTAAACTCGAAATTAGAAGCATTCTACTATATTAGGAAACATAATTTCCTTCACATAATGCGGAGTTCAAAACCATTCTGGAGGATCCTTCTCAACACCCTTCCAAAGCTCCTCATAAGCCTCCAGCAGCCGCTTATCCAAACGTCCCTTTTTGCAAAACTCGACATTACTCCTCAGTTGATGGAGCCTCGACGCCCCAAGAATAATCGCATCTCCCTCTCCTAAAGCTGAATGATGCATAATCCATCTCAAACTTACTTCCGTCGGCGTTACACCTGCAGCATCACATTTCTTACAAAATGCAACCATAGCAGTGTGAATAGCCGGCTTATCGAATGCTTTAACATAAAATGGAAAGCGGCCTAGTTCCCAGCGACCTCCAGAAAGTGTCCCTGCTTTGGTAGCCAGACTTACCTTTCCTGTTAGAAAACCTCCTGCGAGTGGGCTGCGAGAAATCAGCACTGCAATCAATGAATCAAGGGTGCAGCGGACCTGTAAGCATGGATTCGGATATTATGCTCTTTCAAGAATGGAAAAAGTTCTGTTTCAGGCGCTCTCCTGATGGCGTTGTAATGACCTTGCCAGACGGTGGGTTTAACGTAATTATGTCTCTTGCAAACTAGCAACCATTCTCTCACTTGCTCGTAGGAGTGATTGCATAAGCCAAGCTACAAAATTGTTAGATGCCCAAAAGGTAATGGTGAGCTGGGGATGCACCTCTTTGAAAAGTCCCGCTCGGTAATGGTTATCAAAAGCCCGAGCACTCTCCTCGACGGGAGTGTTTGGGTCTGGAAAATGCGCATACAGAATGTTGCATTGCTTCACATCCAGTAATTCCAAACTTTTCTTCAAGCTCGAATCAATGGCAACCCCGGACAACCCACCGCTGATGGCTGTCCGCTCGATTTTTGTGTCAATCACAAATCCCTTCCCAGCTGCACGGCTCTCACCCAACAATCGTTCACTGACCCGTGGACTTCCCGGTGGAGATGACGCCGCCGAGTCCAATTCCGTGATCTGTAGCTCCTTCAATACATCGAGAAGTTCGGAAGTTTGCTCGCTAGTGGTCCAGGCGTGAGTTATGGTACCCTCCCCGATACCTCCAGCACCAAAAATGAGTTGAACTTGCGGATGAGTTGTCATAGTTTGTAGTTGCAGCTTTTGGTGATTGCTGAATGATAGGATGGCGGGGCTGATCCGGTGAACATAAATCAAGATGACAGAGAGTGGCAGAGATGTAACCTTGCACTCCATGCTTGACTGCCGGAGATGGAATTTCCTGACTTAATATACTCCCGCTTTCTAGTGGCTATGCCGATCGATCGTAACTTCGACTGACGGAATTACTCACGTTTCGGACGAAGTCTATTCGACTCGCATAAGGTCGCGGCGTAACTATCCAGCCGATTTACTTCCTAACAAACGCATCCCTGCTTTATTGTATTTTGTCTCTCCTGCTAAAGTAGTTTGATGTAAATCGAGGAACTCAGGTTCTATTCCATGATCCTCATCCGAGCTGGGCGCCCCGGAACTCCATGTCCGCAAAATCCGACAATACTTAGCGGGAAAATCTAGGCACATCTCTTCATATCGAGTTGCTGTTTTTTTTTTCGGCCGACGGCTTCTGCATGTTAGAAGATTGAATTATCAAAGCCGTTCGATTTCTATTATGTGAAACAGCGCACCCGCAAGGTGAAGCCAGCTGGTCCCAGCTCCGAGGACAGACGAAGTACGTAAACTGTGGATGACTTCATCCTGTCTGGGACCGCCAGTGCCTTGGAGTTCTTGGTTTAAGGAGGCACATGTGGCGTACCAACGTCGACCCCCACAATTCGAAGTGTCGGAGTCCACCATGGTAGTAGTGGATCTAAGACTAACAGTTTCACACGTAGTCCCATACCAGCATTATTCGTAGACATCGAAGATGGATTCCAAGTTTCCTTCATTAAGAGAATTGGGCTGATTTAGCTGGTTCAATTTACGCACAAGAAATTGAAGAAGTGTCGCGTCATGCTTCCGGAGAGGCTATGTAACCAGAAAGATCAGATGTGCATATCAACGTACATTAGAGCCTATGGGTAATCGCAAATGGCCCTCCCTCGTTCGTGGTCCCGGAGTACCGTGGTCAACACTTCGATTTGGGAATCGCAACGATGCCGCTGGCGCCTTTGGCTTGCAGTCTTCGCTACCTCTGCAAATGAGGATAGGCAGCTTAAGTACAGCTATTCTCAGGACCGCCTCGAGTCATTAATTTCATGCATGCCCCAATTGCTCTGCTCGAAGCCATTCAGAGATAGCTAGCTCATCACGACGTCAACCCAGGGTGTTATTCATCTCTTTCCCACAACCAAATGACCTCCCCTCTCAAAGACCTGGATGAGTCGAAGCTCTCTGCGACCTACAGCAGCGGCAGTAACATTCATATTCTGGTGGTTGACAGCATGTCAAAGCTTCCTCCAGAAGCTAACGGCGCCGTCGTTGTTGGCGGTTCGAATGCCGCGATATACGCGACGTTCATTTCGGCTAAAGCCGGCGCCCGGGCCGCTATTCATCATGATTGCGGCATCGGTCGAGATGGAGCAGGGGTCAGAGGCTTGCTTTGGGCGGAAAGACACGGCATGGCTACGGCGGCTGTCGCGACTGACAGCGCCCGCGTCGGCGACGGTGCAGACATGTACCAACGCGGGGTCATCAGCAGTGTCAACAGAATTGCGGCCATGTGTGGTGTAGAGAATGGTCAAACCGTCGCACAAGCAGCGGAGCTTTTGAAAACCGCGCCTTGGCCTCACGCAGATGTGCAGCCGCCGGTCGAGGGACGCACCTTTATTCACGGCGTCCTCTGCATAGACTCCCTCTTACTTGGAAATCCAGAAGATTCAGGTTTGGTCGTGGCGAGCGGTAGTCATGGCGGTGCAATTGCGGCCAGAATGACGAGTTCATTTAGGCCACGCCTCGCTTTCTTCAATGATGCCGGATTCGGCGCTGATCGTGCGGGGGTAGCCTGCCTTCCTATTCTCGATTCTGAGGGCATTGCCGCCGCTACGGTTGCCGCAAGCTCGGCGTGTATTGGTGACGGTAAGTCAACTCTGACACAGGGTATTGTCTCGGCCGTGAATGAAACAGCCTACAGACTCGGCGCAAGAGTCGGGGAGACGGCCCTTAAAGTGGCACACACTGTGGTGGAGGTAGCCTGAATAGTTCTCTCAGAACAATCCAAATTGAAGCTGGAATGATATCATCGGCCAAGGCCGATTGATCCCTCTGTGTTAACGTACTTGATAAGTCATTGGCCATACAGAGTAGGATGGACACGCCCCACCAAAGCCACCTCTACACTACATCAACTTAAACTAACATTGGTAAATCAATCTATTGAGGGAGTAACCCGATTTGGGCACGTATAAGCTATTTATATAGGCGATTTACGTATACGTATTCTAGACGTCTGCGTTGCAGAGCGCATAAAAACCTGGCAGTCTTGACTAGATATTGAACTATACAGTCTGTAGTGTTCGAAGAGCCAGCCTTTTCGAAGTCCGTCGAACCGTCGCCGTTGCCTGCACAAGAAGCCAGACCGTCCGATGAGCGCAGGCAAGACGATGCGACTCCTAGATATTATCACCATCATGGATAGAAATTGCCAATTAGCGCGATATCAATCAATTCAAGCATTTATACCCTTTCGGATAAGTAACACACGCCATATTAACACATTCCTAATCATTTTCCAGGAGTTGATAGAATATATAAATGTGACAGGATTACTTTACCGCTATCTCGAATGTGGTGACGCAGCGCATAAATACCCTCACCTGCTCTCTGGATAGCGAGCATGCCCCGCGATCCGATATAGCTGAGAATTTCCTTTACTAGACTAGCGAGCACGGCTTAACATAACATTCCTGTATGGCAGCCTATGCCGGATATTTTCTCTCTTTTATTTACAATGTAGACGCACAATACAATACATCACGCGTTCACACTCAATTTCTAAATATGGTTAGCATAGACCCTAATACGACGTAGGGACGGCAATGGCTAGGCCAGTATATGGAGACAATCCTGTAAGGCACTAGAAACAAAAAGCCGTAACGCGGTCTCAGCCGACTCGCCCTGGTGGTGGGCCCGAGACACTTCTCAAAGGGGAAAGATAAGCCAAATTAGAATGAAACATGTCATAGCTTGTGTCTCAATTAACTCCCAATCAGTGATTTCTTATTTTAATTACATCCTTCAAACTGACCAAATGCTACACCGAAGGTCCTCCGAGCAGTACTCCGTACTAATTATAAATTGAATGACTCTCCTCGGTTTTTTAATATCACAAATAGCGCGATTAAAATTATGATTAGCACTTGGAATATACCAAAATGTCGCCTTTGTCTCTGCTTCTAGTCCCTTTCTTCGGCTCCGCATGCCTTGCGAGCGTTTGGAATTTTGATATCAGTATTAGAAATACCTACGTATGCACTGCAACTCCTTAATCTCGCGTGCACGACTGACAGGTATTGATAGAGGACTGTTCAGTTGGATCTAGGAACCCCAGCAACTGCTTATGACCTTCTCTTCGACACTGGTTCTGCTAGCCTATGGGTTCTGAGTGGTAACTGTACCGATCAGTGTCCGAATGCAAGCGGGTAAGTGAACACATTAATATGACGCGATCTAACAGGAGTAGAACGTTGACTATATGAATTAGATTACCACGGACTACATATAATCTTACATCCACCGGTGAGGCGTTCTACAACACTACGGACTCCATTGTTTATGATGGAGGCAAAGTCTTTGGCTATCTCGTCTCAGATATTGCTGGAGTCCCTGGTACCAACGTTTCCTTTTGCCAGAAATTCGCTTCTATCACATCTAGTACTTGGGCTGCGCTTGGAGCAGACGGATTCTTGGGTCTGGCATCAAGCACAATTGCGTTTCCTAACACCACTGCGCCGTTTGAGAATGCAATGCAGTTTGGCCTCCTGGAACAACCCCGGTTTGCCATATATCAGGGCACCGGGATTTCCACGATAGCAAACCCAAGTCCTGAAAATAATGGCGTCTTGACGATGGGTGGGAGTCATGAAGACGTCTACGCACATGGCGAGGTTGAGTTTGTTCCCATCAACACGCCATTCCAGGTCTACAAAGCACAATTCCAGGGCTTGAGTGGGAACAACCACTTTGCTAATCAAAATGAGCAACATGGATCACTAAAATGGGAGGGTGACGTAGTTTTCGATACAGGTAAAGCTCATGTCACAGCTCTATTTGCTTGCGACTATAAGCTAACGTGTGGTGGGTATGATAGGTTCGGATCTCATTAACCTACCAGAGAGTCAAATTGCGGCAGTATACAACATGACTCCATGGTCTTACGACCAACTTTTGACTGGATACCGACCACTGTGTTCCGATTTCAATGACACATGGTCCCTCTCTTTTACCTTCGGCACTGATGACATTCAAAAAACTTTCACAGTTACGGGTGATCAATTGACGACTCCTGGGTATGTGGACGATGATCACTGCTTCCCACCATTCAACCCATGGGGTAGCAACAATATCATTCTCGGAGCACGGTGGATGAGCAATTTTTATTCCGTCTTCGATTTAGGATCGTTTGAGCCGTCGGAATATGATCTTCGCATTGGGTTTGCGCCATTGAAGAAGGAGTACCAGCCCATATTCTAGGAATCTCACCATTCGAATAGAAGGTGATATTAGGTATCTTGCATAGTATGATCTCGCTGTACCCTATTTTGACTATGTTGGGTTGACAATATCGCTCTTGTACCGATGTCCCGGACTAGACCCAGGCTCAGTGTAGAAGCAGTTTAGATAGTCAGAACAAGGGAGAATAGAAATATTGTACAATGATGGGGAACTTTATCAAAGAATCATATCTGTGATTTCCAGCTTTCACGGTAAAGAATCATACGCACTGCATTTGGTCAATCATTGGAACGTCTTTTCTTTGGGTCGGTATGCTCGTGGCAACCGTGTGCCCTGCGATTGGCCTTTTTCATTTCAATAACGTGATACTAACATTCTGGACCAGTTGTGCACGTTAATCTACCCCGTAGATGCATATACAATGTACACAGTCTCGGCGGATCCCGCTAGCATCGTCTTCCGTTCTCCGTTCGAAGTGATCCTACCGCTCGCAAAAAATAAGATGTAGGCCAACCTAGGTAGGTCTACGTACCGGATTTCCTTGGTAGGGTTGGGATTTTCGTTCTTAGTTACTGCCGCTGTTGTGAGAAAACTCACACCACACTCACCAATAAATCTCAATCCAGACCTTTACTGATAAGCTATAGTCTAACGTAGTGATTGGTTATTACTGTAAAGAGCCTCCCGATGAAGAGCCGGATTCCAAGGACCATGAACAGTAATAGGTAAATCAGTTGTAGGCTTGGAGATTGATGGATTCTATGAGGAGCGTTGCCAACGTTCTTGTTTTCCATTCTTCTATCTAGTGGAAACTATCTCAAGCGTACTGGTATGCCCCACGGATAAATTTCGGTCCGAATATCATATGGCCTCAACAATTAGATTGTGGGGTCTATTGCACGCTTTTGATTCCTCGCAACTTCTCTGCAACGATCATAAATACCTTTAGCAGCACATTCGGCCTCCAGTTGAATACAAGAAGGGTGATCACACTCAACTTTCTAGAAATATGGATCATGACGATCTCCTCCAACATACACGAACAAAGACTGGATGTCTGACTTGCCGGCAACGAAAGAAGAAATGCGATGAGAGGAAGCCGACTTGCCAGAATTGCGAGCGTAAGAATGTACCTTGTGGTGGCTATAAACTGCCAATGAAATGGAAAGCTTTTGTTTCAGGCGAGCGCCCAACACAAATAAGTCGACATACTCAGCCATCACGGAAGGAACCACCACTGGCTTCGCATGAAGAACTGCTACACGCTCATCAGCCAGGGTCGCACGTACGTGGTCGCCGSGAGCCTATCTACTCCGACATGAATCATGATGATTTCCCGAACCCCGCGGATTCACGATCCAACAACAATTCTTACGACTCCTGTGAGATTAGTCATGACGAACTTAATCATTTACCCAGCATATCAGATGTCGTCCCGACTACCTGCATTCGCAGATCTAATCGTCTAGTCAGCCCTTTAAACATAAGACTACCCGCTCTGGTTACCGGTATAGAAAGCGCTCTGGACAGGCGTCTGTTACATCACTTCACTTATGTTGTCTCCAGTATATTGGTAGTCGTGCCCGATGTTGCCAATAATCCATTCAACCGTCTCGTCTTACCAATGGCATTGAACGATAGGGAACACTGGGGACTTTTGGACCTGATAATGAGTTTTTCAGCCAGCCATCTAGGTAGAATGTTGAGGATTTCCGCCAACAATGAATATACCGAAGAGATAAGAGACGTTGAAAAAGCGAAATGGGCTCGCTATGGTTATGCCATAAATCAACATTCCAAAAATCTAGCTTCCTTGATGGATTCGTTCTCTCACATACAGGAACGTTGTCCCGTGGACAACGATACTTGCGTCGACTACGCCATCACCACAACGATGCTCTTGTGTCAATGGTGCACATGTGAAGGTGGTGACCAATCACCATGGAGGCTACATCTGAATGCATGCAGGGAGCTCGTCAGGATAAAATTAAAAGGTATCAACGAATCTACATGTCATTTGACAGACACGTCTCGATTGCTCTTGGAATGGTTCTACTTTCACGATACCATTGCTACCCTTACGTTCCCTGACCGAGGCTGTTGCATTGACCTCCATAAAGGAACAATAGAGGCGTTTGGTGCTTCTGTGCCTATTGATGCTTTCTCAAATACAATCAGTAAGGGGAGAGAAGATAAATTACTGTGGATAGGTGTCAATGACGGTCTTCTTGCTATTGTGTCACGCATCTTGAATCTCCACTCCGAAAATATCACTTCACGAGAACCTACTGATACTATCACTGATACAGCAAGGGAGCGAAGCAATTCATCTATACTGCCGCAGAACAGAGTTCATGATCATTTTGGTCCTGATTATGTTTACACCGATCAGCTTGGTTGTGAAGTTTCGAGCTTCATCTTCGGAATGTCATCAGCCGCGTTCAAAGTAGACTCTTTCCTCGATGCTCTTGCCATCGAAGATGCCCTACAAAGCTGGAATTTTCAATACAAAACTTCACAAGAAAGCCTCGTCGGTGAAAGCTACCGCTGGGCCGCGTTTCTTCTGTTGCATTTCACTGTCTATCCTATGTGTTCCCTGTATGATGCCAAAGTGGAAACAACTGTGCGGACGTTACTATGTTATCTTGATAGCATTTCGTCCACGGATAGTGCTCTGACCTGCGCGTTACTGCCACTATTCATTTGTGCGGTGACTTTGCATAGGCCAATGGAACGCCAGATGGTTATTGATAAGGTTGCTGACTATAGTCGATGGTCTGGCCTGGCTCATGTCGAAGATGTCAAGAAGTTTCTCATCGCTTGGTGGAAGCAGATGGATCATCAGGGAACTGACATTCAATCTTCTGGTGATGATGCCGGCTTCCAAAATCCTGGCCAAAGCTGGTGGGCCTGGATTGACTTTATGAAAAGCAGAAAGCTTCAACTCATTTTGGTTTGAGCGAAGGGTCGTACCTTACATGATCTGCTTACTTTCTACGATATTTTTACTATAAAATGTAGCATCTGGATATGCTCTAGGTCGTTGAGGAACGTCGTATGATTCAGAGCTCTCATTATTATAAGTAGTCCTCGATTACTGGAGATCATTCCACTTTTGATTTTTTGCGTACAGTGATTCTGTCAACGATGTCTTCTTACAAAACCCTTGCTGAATAGGCTCCTAGCTTGAAATAAGCCAATTTACTGAACGATAAAATGGTTATTTCTGTATCCCAACCAGAAAGTAGTACTAACTCTTTTTCTGATGTGCGAAATGAAAATCATCATGGTCGAGAAACTATGAAAGTAAACAAGGAAGCTTACTGCGGCAGCGATAGATGTGAGAATCCATGGTTAGAGGCGCCTATCGCCTACACGATGTCTATATTCTTTCACTAATGTGTGAACTCCAGGCTCAGTTTTCTCAATCCCTCAACTCTATAATCCGCTAAACCTAATCTGGAACTAACGGCGATATCTATACGAGAACGGAGATCCTGTGATTCCATGACATACTACCGGATTAACACTCCTCTAGGTTACATTGATTGGCGTTTTTAATTCTTATTGCGAGATGTCGCTAGTGTATCCTGGCTGGAAATTGGTGAATCATCAAGCTTTCCAAATTTTCTCTAACCGTAAATGGCTATTATTGCCGCGCTACTAGAGCGTTTTTCTTCAGCGGACTTTTCCTTTTCGAGATACGTAAGAGCAAAACAATAAGACAATGTAGACACCTATAATTGCGCTTCTTGACTCCAACATCAAGCCCAGCTGTTGTTGTTGCCTAGGCACATGTAATCTCAGCATAACCACAAACCACAAATGATAAGAATCCGCATATGGGAACTTCAGACGCGGTGTGACGATTTGGGGCCGTTCCTAACCTACAAAGCCTTGTCATCACCGAGGAGATTCAGAGTCATCTCGGCATAGGTGATTGGATGACAAGATCAGCTCAGTTGCCGGCATTGTCTCTTCCAGGGTATCTCAAAATCCTGTGTCAAAAACTCCAGAAAACTGAATGGGTTGACGATTTAAGGTTCAAGACCAACAGTGATCGCGTAGCAAACAGGGCAGTCTTGGAACCAATGCTTGAGAACATTATCAAAACAAAAAGGACCTAGGAATAGCTCGATATACTCCAAGGTAGTGGGATACCCTATGCACCCATCAATGATGTTCAAAATAAATTGGTACGGCAGCCTAGTAATTCAGTTTGTATCATTTTCAGCTCGTTTTACTTTTTCTTTTCTTCTAGTGGCGCATAGTCCTAGAGGAAGTGAGTCTAAGCACCCAGATCAACGTTGTATTAGTAGAGCAGTCGTTAACCCTAATAATTATTTCACCATTGGTGTTTAGCTTTGAGAGTCTTTTTATAGTGATAAGGAAAACTGGTCTGCATGCTCTTGAAAATCCCAATGCCAGCCGTAACCGAATAGACTGCTGGCTGTATGGTCCTAGGGTAACCGAATGCGAATGTTTCAAATCAACTGCTGGTAAGATCTAGATACCTTGTAAAATCAACTGATAAGAGTTTCTACAACATTCATTACGATCTAATAATATCAACTTGAAAAATCTGCTGGGCAAGATTTAGTTATCCCCACGGAATGATTCGTGACTCTACAAGGAATTGGGGCGGGTACTGTACCTACTTGGGTTGTGTCCAAAAATGGTATATTAGCTGCGCGAATGAATAGTTCCGGATTTGGGAGGTACATAGCCAATGCATAGCTGTTTGCTCCCTATCTTAGCAGACTCGGGAAAGAAGACTAGATGACAATGAGGAGATTGAAATTAAAGCTCTTTCGATTGGAAAGGAACCTCGTCGTAAACATTTCATTCAGACAATAGGTCCGATTTGCTTGCTCATTCAAGAGGTCCCTTAGAGCATTTTGACAGACATCATGGCTTTTTCAATTACACTGGTTACTCCAAATCAAACCACATATAAACAGCCCACTGGTAAGTACGACATTGTGCCTACAGAATTAAATCAGAAAGAGATCTTTGTAGCCGCATATTGACTGTCATATGTACAAGGCCTATTCATAAACAATGAATTCATCGCCTCAAAATCGCGCGAGATCCTGGAAACTATAAATCCATATGACGAGTCAGTGATCACCCATATCTCTGCAGCTGGAGAGGAAGATGTCGAACTCGCCATGCAAGCTGCTCGCGCGGCATTCACTCCTGGCAGTGAATGGAGAAGCATCAGCCCAGCAGAGCGCGGAAAGCTTCTGTGGAAAGTTGCGGACCTAGTTGAAAGAGATCAACACATTCTGGCTACCATTGACGCTTGGGATAATGGAAAGCCTTATCAGGTTGCTCTTGAGGAAGATGTTGGGGAGGTTATCGGCGTATTTAGGTACTACGCGGGATGGGCGGATAAAGTCCAAGGGAAAACAATCGATACGGGCAATGCGAAGCTGGCATATACGAAGCATGAACCTGTCGGTGAGTTGGCCAATTCTCCAAGTTCTACTTGCGTGAAAAGCCTTAGCCCTATGGTATCTGTGCGAAAATCTAATCTCAATCAGGTGTCTGTGGACAGATTATCCCGTGGAATTATCCAGTAATGGTTCGTTATTCCCTGTACATCATCCTTTGTTTAAATAATAAACGCTAATCTATATAAATATAACTAACAGATGCATCGTGGAGACTTGGGCCGGCACTAGCTGGCGCTGCTCTCGCATCCCACCTTGACGTTGATAAGATTGCTTTTACTGGCAGCACATTAACTGGTAAAGCTATTGCCAAGCTAGCCTCAGTCAACCTTAAGAACATCACTCTCGAGACCGGGGGTAAAAGCCCGCTGTTAGTCTTCAATGATGCAGATCTCGATCAAGCTGTCAAATGGTCGCATATTGGAATAATGAGTGAGTCGCAACCTTAGGAGCCAAGATCCCGAATTCTCTACTGTAAGACAACACAATTTTACAGTCCTAATGCTAATCAAATGATATTATGGATAGGCAACATGGGCCAGATTTGCACCGCATCATCCCGTATTTTTGTAAAAGAAGGGGTCTATGAAGATTTTGTTCGCCAGTTCAAAGATTACACTGTGCAGAATACGCGAATTGTTTCTCAATTTGATCCACAGGTGACTCATGGTCCGCAAGTGTCGAAGGTACAGCAAGGAAAGATCTTAGAATACGCCAAAAGTGCCATGTCAGATGGGGCACAGTTGATATTGGGTGGGTCAGCACCAGCTGATCAGAAAGGATTCTTTATCATGCCGACTATTTTTGGAAATATAACAAACGACATGACAGTTGCGAGGGAAGAAGTCTTTGGGCCCTTTGTCGTTGTCCAGTCATTCAAAACCGAATCAGAAGCCATTTCAAAGGCGAATGACTCAAAGTACGGGCTTGGAGCTGCAATTTTCACTCGGGACGTAGTCAAGGCACATAGGGTAGCTGGCCTCATTGAGTCCGGAATGGTCTGGGTAACTATACCCTTCTGTATTTCTATTATTAAACGCGCTAATACCCTTTCCTTGGTTGCAGATCAATAGCTCACAGGATTCACACTATGCCATTCCCTTTGGAGGCTACAAACAGAGTGGAGTTGGTAGAGAATTGGGAGAATATGCTCTATTGGCATATACCCAGGTCGAAGCTGTTCATGGTAATAACCCTTGCCATGTTCCCGTGAAACCTTGAGTCCATGAAGAGTAAGCTAACATTTTCCAACATCAGTGAATCTCGGATTGTGTCTGTGAATCTGCCACCGGAATCAATTGCACAGCATGCAGACATTGAGTCGTTGGCTGGCATTAGCAACTTATGAAATACATGAAAGTGGAAAGCTTCTTTATCTGCAAGAGGGCTTAGGTATATTAGACCACAAGCTCAAATAAGTATTTATCTGTTCTATACCAACATATGGAAGTTAAGTCCTTGAGGCTCATATAAATGAAATCTATTTGACATTTTTGTTCCGTAATTGATTAACTCGGTGTTACTCTTTTCTCATGTATTTCCGATCTCGGTGAAAATCCATGTGTCGACATCGAGCCAATGAGTCATTTCCATTTAGCGCTTCGGTGCTCTGTAGCTTATTTTATCTTGCGATTTATTTACGAGCAAATGGGATTCTGAATTGTGACTGAGTAGGTATCTAGAATTGATATATGTAAGTGTGTGTTTGTATTGATGTATGTCAACGTCGGTGTGTCTATTTAGAAAACGAGAACATATCCTTCCCCTAGAACATGCTAATACATCTATAGCAGATGCTGTTGATTCAAAGGGATTGAGAAACTCCTATCCAGCATCATATTGTTTTCGTGAGCCCAGCGGTCGTCCTTAAAATCTGTTCGTAGATTTACAATTTTGGAAGCACAATCACGGTAAAATAGCCTCCACCTCAATTTCCACCACCATTCCCTCTAAACCAAGTTTTGTAATTTCACAAGATGTCCATATAGGTCGGTGGTTAGGCATAGATTGCCTAAATGATGAAATAACATAGCCAGATGTTTCCTCGATGTTGGTATGGAGTGACCACACCGCATAGACATTACTCCAGCCTAGCTTTGGGCTAACCGCCTGCAGAGCCTTGAATATATTCAAGAATGCCAGCTCAACCTGTTTTGCAGGGTCCTTAGGAATTTCGCCATTACAGTCCCAACCACCTTGGCCCGAAGTTCTGACAGTATTTCCTATTACAACCGTTTGAGAGTAATGAAGAGAAATTGATTGGCTCTCGACTTCGAGGTAGTCGTAGAACTTTGGGTTAGACATAATGATTCGATTCGTTGATAAAATAGCCCGAAGATATTCCGCTATAAGGGTCGGAGAACAATCACAGGACACGGAGTTCGAATGTGGACTATTTTAACGACTGAATAATGAACACCGAAAATTGCGAATGGTGAAACACTTGTCTTCTTGAATATTAGAAGATTTCGTCGATAAAATATACGTATGGTCATACTAGACTATCTGTATAGAGCAATAATTGGCGCAATCATATCTACATATCAGGAATGTTTTATTGGAAAGGATTTTAGTTCCATTACTATCATCTGACAGACTTATATGACCACTAAACTACCACCCCATTAACGGGACTTCGTTTTTGGTCATATGGTAATATTGTGGGAATCTTACCATCGAAACAACCAACAATAATGACCTCGGCATCTTACAATTATGATGAGTATTGGGTTGAAACGAAGCTAGAACAAAGGAGGAAAAAGAAGCCTGCCTGATTACTCCATAGGATTTGCAGTAAATTCAGCTTAATATAGCCGGACTCCAATGCTGCTATGTACAGGTGAAGCCATCTATTTATGCCTCATGGTGGCTCGTTTTGAAGTCTGAGACCGTTTAGTCGAGTCTCATAGATGTTATTCCAACAATCTAATCAATAGTTCATGGGAGCCTCCAACGAATTCCAGCGTTCTTCGCAGTACCATCAAGTGGCAGCAACAATGATCAATCTGCACACCTCCGGAAATTGCCATCCAGGCCAAATCCTCGTCGAAGGTTGTCAACATTGCTGCATGTAGTGTGATGAATATAGTAATTTCAATATAAATTAATAAAATTCGAATTCAAAGGGAAGGACCAATACAGTACATGTTTGGTGCTCTGCGTATCCCGATTGATAGCTTGAAGCTGCGGAATCGTAACATGCTTGGAGATGAGCATGCACTCTTGCTTTACTGTTACAACCGATTTGGATTACGTCTTCCCCATGGAATAACCTACTATGTAATTTGATTTTTGATTTTTTGGCAACGGGGCTAGGGCTTTGTTGCGTATTCTCAAGCAACGTGTGGCAATAGCGAGGAGAGCGCGCGGTTCTTTTTGCCGAAAGAGGGAAATAGTGGAACGCTGTGCTTACATTGCCGAGTTTGATAGCCATACGAAAAAGCGAACCGGGATCAACACGAGAAATTTGCTTTTTAACACATCTTATGGAACCACATACTGGTAGTAGACCGCGGGCAAATGTTTTCCGATGAATATTTTTTATACCCCACAGATATGGGCCAGATAACAGGATGGGCTGATCCAGCGTAAATTTTCCCACTGTGAAGGGTTCTGTAGCCTTCATTAACAAATAAAAATTAACTGGATTTATGCGAAAAATGAAGTATTTGTCTTTTTTGCACTTATTAGACTGCTTCTTTTAAGTATCTAGCAACTGCTGCCCGCTCATTGTTCGTTTTCAGGAAGCTACAAAGAAGGGGAGACTAAGTACGACTTTGGGGTTTTTCAAGATGCAACCCATTATGTTTCATCTTTCAGAAACTATTGAATTCCGCATATACGCTTCGATCTTGTTTGTTTCCATACCTCTGTTGTTTCTTTACTTTCGTACAAGGTCGCGACAATGGGATGCGTTCAATACCCCCGTTCCACAGCCGCTTCATGACTTCAATGTACAACAACAGAAACCTATGATGTACCGGCCTTTCCGTCATGGGCCAAATTACGTTACCATGGGCATTCGGAAAATGAGCTGGGATAATTGGATTGAGATGGATTGTAATTTTATGCGTTATCATGATCTGAAAGTCTCCGAGCTTAACAAAGACCTTAATGCTCACGTGAAATATGTCAACAACAAAGTCACGATAAAGGCTTGTTTCGAGTTACTGGAGCAACTGACAAAATATCTTACGCACCGATACCCTACGGTATATAAATTGAATGGGAAAATTCTCCATAACACGCTCACCGGGGAGAAATTTCAATGTCCAGCAGGTACGCAGTCTCCGTTAAGCCAATTCTTCTTACCACATACTCACAAAATATGAGAAAGAAAATCCAAAAGAAGCCTTGACTACATCCGCAAAGCTTGTCCAGGACGATCTGATTATTATGGTCAAAAACGACGGTGAGTGAACTTCGCTAGTTTCGTAGCATTGTTCCTTCTAACATAACAAAGAAAATAATAGCTAACCTTACAATGTTTCTTGGTAAGATGGACAATATCATATAGACGCCGCGGCAGTTTGTCTCCCCGGATTTTGGCGTCTCACAGAAAAATTCAGGATGTCCCTAGATACCCTTCATCTCGAGGCTGGCGTACCATATTACGCCCAAAAACTCCAAAAGTCCATGAATCGCTTTTTTGATACCTTAAAATATGAAAACCCGGTGTCTCGTAACAACGTGAGTTAAACAAACCCCTCCCTCCCCCGTGTTTATGTCCAATATTCTATCAGGAGGACTGATTTTGACATAGTACTTTGTTCAACTTGATGACGGCTTGCATTGGTCTCATCGGATGGGAGATCAACAGAGCACGCAGGTCGCATGTAATATACCACTCTTATTTTATTTGGTGCAAGGCAGAACTGATCGGAAATCTTACCTTTAGCTTGGGCTACAGCGAACAGCAAGAATCTCAAGCTCGAGGACCTCCACTTTAGATCCGAGCGACAGACTTTGCGCCGACTTCCTCGATCCAACGCTATAGTTTTCACGGTTAGAACGTACTTCGAACCGATTACAGTCATAGCAAAGGAGCCACATGTACCAGGAAGACTCGCCGAGGCAATCAGAAACTGGGACGAGGCTATGTCAGCTTATAAAGGCAAGGAGCATTGGGAACAGATACTTCTACCTTACCTGGATGAACAACACCAGCTGCAATTAGCAAGCGGAATTTTGGAAAAACCTGAGAAGGATTTTCCCTTTTGAAAAGACAGGTACCACAATGAGATAAAGCGATGTGTCTTGTACAGCCAGGGCATGTGACGGATTGGGCTTACTAGTGATGATTAGGGCTTTGGGGAAGTATGAGAGAATTTTGCCAGTTCACTATTCGCAGCTAAAATGCCGAAGGATTGTATATATGACTGTCGATATCATATGTCTAAGATGACAAGAATAAATGCATCACGCTGAATCTTTTGTCTATATCAAAACTTCATAACGCCTTCCCGGGTTGGTCATTGTTATTATTATTCTTCTTCTTCCTCCATTTTATAGAGCGTTTTTCAGTTATAGACTATGCCCGCTTTGCCTATTCTGTAACGACCCAAGCAGTCTAGTCAGACAGCCTAGAGCTGTACAAAGCTCATCGAAGCTATTCACGGAATTCTTGTTCCTTGATGAGCACGCGTCGATACGCTGGAGTTAGTGAATCGGATTTATAGTAAGCCGGAGTTACTTAGTTGGAGTTACTCAGTGGATCCTAAGCTAATATGGATAACAATGACACTTGTATATATGAAATACAGACATGAAATAGCAGGGCGAGATAATTTTCAGTACATTGATATTCCATACCTTGTATACTCAGCTCTTGTGATCCTCTTGAATCTCTATCCGCATACGTATCCCACGTAATGTTGTCACACCTATTCCCAAAAGAGAATAGGCAGAGCGTGCATAGTCCATGACTGAAAAGCGCTCTATACAATGGAAGAAGAAGAAGAATAATAATAATAATTATTATTATTATTATGAGTTTGTAGAAACGTGTATATTGATAATTGCGATGAAATTTTGAGATGGTGGCTGGTTGACCGGTGTGGCCAGTTGACGAGTGAAATACGTTAAACCCTCTGTACTACACAAGGTGCTAGGGCTTACGAGATAGTACCATAATCTTGTAATTCATAGTATCTTGGGTACCCTCTATGACCGTCTTAGTAGTAGGAGCAGTACTGACCTCCGTAGCCAGCTTTAAATTACCTATTTAGGAATATTCAGGCGACTGGAGATGGGGTTTGGGGACGTGCGCGATTCTTTCCCCCGACGATATTATATAAACAGTATCTAAACATCGGACGATAGAACCATCGGAACTTGGTTTATGGGTTCTAGCTGCGTGTTCCAAATAATTAAAAGTCGCAAACTTTCCTCTCGTCAATATGTCTCAATCTCTCAAGATTGCTATCCTGCAAAACGATCACAGGTCCGAAGGTTACTGGAACGACATCAGAGAAGCGTTCTGCGATGTTATAGGTACTGCCGCCCCAGACTCGCAGATCAACTTCTTTGATCCTATCGAGCTTCAAGTCTACCCGGAATTGTCGGACAATTATGACCTGATTATTTTGAGCGGTGGTAACGCTGAACACGATGGCAACGTTCCATGGGTCTTAAAGATGCAGGCTTTTATAAGAACTGTTGCGCAAAATCATCCGCGTCAAAAATTGGTTGGCATCTGCTGGGGACATCAGGCCATCCACAAGTCATTAGGTGGGACGGTTGGCTATAGGAAAGAAGGGGCAGAGGTAAGTTAGCTATATTATATGATAATGATGCACGGAATATCATTCCTCTGATTCTCCTTTTTTGGCACTTAGGTACAAACGCACATCAAACTAACTCCGGAAGGGAGTAAATTCTTTCAGTTTGCAGAAGCTAGGGGAGCCTTAGTTGTGAATGTTATGCATCTGGAGTATGTCTATGAGCCGGGGTCGAACTTTATTCCACTAGCTGAGGATCACCAGTCCTTTATCTCAACGAACAATAGTATTCTCACATTCCAGGCACATCCGGAAATAGGGGCAGAATTTGCAGAACGGATCATCAGAAAGGACTTTAAGAGACGCCTTAGTCAGTCAGACTTTGAACATGCGCTCGAGGAACTAGACTGCCCATTGGATAATGAGAAAATCTGGAAACGAATTCTGCAATGGGCTAGGAATTAGATAAAATGAATCATTTCAAAAACCTGCTAAAAACAGAAGATTTTCTCCGATCGTCTCAAACATAAATATGCCGATTGGGACACAAACCGAGCACTAGCTATTGGCACTTATTACATGCCCATACCCTTTTGACGAGCATGATATTCCCTTATACGTCGAGCCAGAAACTACGTCTCTCTCGGGCGTTAAGCAGAGACAACCAGTATCGCCAAAGCAATATTCACTACAGCTGAATAAGGCTCCTCTCCTGAGAAGAACTATCGCCGTCATTCCTCGTTGGTGTGTCTACGTGGATTTGAGAGGACAATTCAAATAAGCAGCCGTCAACAACGACAAGAAGGTGGTGAAATGGGAAGCTGTACTCCTATCCTACTCCAGCCGATCATGCCATAAGGTCCACATGGAGTTTTAGCCAACCCAGGTAATAGTCCTCGCGGAAGAGTGTCGTCTATTACAAAGTGAATTCATCCAGGTGCTCCTTTTCACTTGAACGCTAGCTATAGATATTCTCGGGTCCCCGTTCCGTGAATACTTGTATTGCCTTTTGCCCCTAGAGCGGTGACGACAATGGCTCTGGCGATTTCCATTCGCTGAGTAGTATGAAGTGCTACAGCTAGCTAAGAAAAGGTGATAGTCTTCCCTTGGGAGGTAGTCGGCCTCAGATGATTTGCCATATTTCATGAGGCTAGATCTGAATCGATAAAGAATGTTTTCGGTTAGGCCGACATCTTGGTGAATGGCTTCGTGCCGTTTTTACCTTCAATGTATCGGTCACGGGGACGCGAAGAAGAATGGCATAGATTTCAATAACTCTCCCTTGAACCAAGGACTGGGAGGACGAGTACCTATCATATTACTTAAGAGATAGTTCAGAAGCGCGCCTCTTGCAAAATCAGTGTGTAAAGAGAGAGCCGCAATGGCTGCAAGTCAGACTGCCTTCGTCCGCGGACATATCTTCGGAATAGCATGTAGAATMATACGCACATCCAGAGATTGTGCTAAAAATCTGCTCTCGGTATATTCTCAGCGATCGCTTCAAGATCTCCGAACGTACAATCTAAGATTATGCTTTCATCCCTAGTTTGAACAAAGATATCCACAATATTTACTCCGGTTCCGGAAAAGCGCCGTGAGGATCAAAGTGGTGAAAAGAGCAGGGATTAGCCAATATGGCGCACGCCTCGTTTCGTAATTGGAAGAGTAAAATCTTATCACCAGAAGACCAGATGGCAGGCCTGTCATTTTCATGGTAGCTTGATGATAACCATGGGATAAGGCGGGGTAGGAAATCTCGGGGTCATGTATCGCTGCAGAGCGCCGCCGGGGCATGTTGAGAGAATCAAAGCGACTGTGGGACTAGCTTCGATACTATCGAAGGCAGACATGGACAAGGTCTACGTTGAGTTACTGCGCTTGGAAAATAATTTAAGGGACTCGACTCCTCCCCCTTGCGCAGCCGGCCGGACCTTCCCGCTCGATCTTCCGCCTAGAGACACAAAGCCCATGCCAAAGAGCGCCGCCCATTGAGGTCTATAGACAGTCCCGTGGGCATGGCCCCATGGGACTTGCAGATGTCTATATAGCATCCCCAGAGTTAGGTCCTAATGTGGATGTGAATTTGTAGGAGTAGTGGGGCAGTGTTCTGCACTGCTGTGGGATCTATAGGCTAGGACTTTCAAATAATATAGTTTTCAAGATCATAGGTCTAGCCGTGATGGTGGCGGACATCTCGGAAATGCCTCTAGTAATGTACAGTACTTACAATAACCATGGCTGGTCTCCGCCGATCCTTACTAGCATCCTCAGAAGACTAGCACCATTCTCCAGACTTAATAAAAGACCCTTCGCCTCTTTTGGGTCAGAGATTTTAGATCTTAAAATGGAATCTCAGTACCGCCTCTTTTAGCGTATCTTTTATATAGATAGAGGAATAGCAGTCTCCTTCGGCCTTCACGCTGCCCTCCCGAATGAGGGCTACGACACTCCTCTTCTTAGTATTGCCACAGCCGAGTTTTAGTACTGCATCAGATAAATACTCTTGTAATGCTTCAGGTCGTGCGCTAGATCATGACTATGTGCGAGCCTTAGTCTCAGATCTTCTCACCGGTCCATTCTGAATCGTTTCGCACCACAGCTCCCGATTGTCAGACCAGGCTTCTGATGATGAAGCGATTTCCCGCGCAGGCCAAAAACTGGTACACGCAAGGTGTCTGCTTGCCGGACTAGACACCCAGAAGCCGGTGCAGAACAGTGTGACCTTGCTCAAAGTCAGCTTTCACAGTATTTTGATCCTGCTGTATTACCCTTTGCAGACCAACGCAGATCTCTACCCAGATCTGATCGAGCTGCAGAAGATAGGCGCAGGTTTGTTCTGAGTACCTACGTATGTTTTCAAGTGGGCCATCTTGCGCTGAATTATGCGACCATGTCTCAAATCTGCGTTGTGTGCCGAATTCTGCTACGTTACCACTCTAAGAACCGAGCCTCAGCCAACCATAGTGAACTGAAGGAATCCATAGTTTGCAGCATAAAAATGCTCGACGGCTTTGCGTCAATTTGGACGCAACATACCAAGCGTTGCCGACTGTTTCTTGGTCGCTTTCTCAATTGCTTGAGAAAGGCACACTCAGATACTCCCGAAGCGACACGTCTTCTGCAGAATATATATATCTAGGTAATCAGCTACCCGAAACCGACAGCATACAAGCTATAATAAAAGATTTTGAGTCGGTCACGTAACTAGCATTGGGCGCCTCAGGTATATTAAACTCGATAGACTAGGCCTTCAGCTTGCTCATTTGTAACTCGAAGCAGATATTTTATGAATGACATGAACCAAGCGAATATCCCGCTGATTTCGGCCATGATGGTGGATTTTTCTACACCCACTCCGCTACATTCGTTACCATCCTTAAAGGTGCCTCCGTATCATTTCCATCGAGATTGGTAAACTCAAATGCTTGAATTCCCGCAATGTTCCAACTGCTGCCTGTGATTTGGATTAGGACGGATCACAGGTACAGGGTCAAAAATAGCATCCTCAAATACAACAAAGGGTACACACACTTGTCTTCTGGAATGTCACTCTGGTCTTCAATTATAAACTGCAGGATTCTGCTATGAGAAACTAAAACGACCCGAGCACCGTGTCCATGGCTCTTTACCAGATCCCTCAGGAAGAGGCGTACTTATCGACCGCGGGCCTCGAGCTTCGCGTTCGTGGGCTCGTACTCGCTACCAAGTAACTTGTCATCCCAGCCCTCAGTCACCAGTCTAAGATCCACTTCATCAAAAAACTCGGCCTGGACTGTTAAAGAATCGAAAATCAAGTTGCAAGGCTGCGCTGAAGCCTCCTGCACCGCCGGCAACGCGACTATTGTCGCCCCTTCTCAAAAACCGGTGCGAACGAGATCAGGCATGTTTGTAAGTTTCGGCGTAGAGGCGAGGACACTAGGTGATCTGATCGTGGGCAGTGAATCTTTGTTATAGCTCTCTGCATCGGTCTTCATCTAAAGGCGTCAAATCCGGATCACGCAGCTCGTGATTCTCCTCATTGAGGTTATGATAGCCTTGACCATGCTCATGTTGACCAGATTTGGCAGCCGACTATATGTGTAGGGATAAACTCTTAAAAGCAGAGAAACATACCGGACACATGATTCTCATACTTCAGATATCGTCTGCAACGAAAAATGAACTTCGTAAGGCTCAGCCGCTAGCTGAGCATAACAACAAGCCCGGTGAAGAAAACGCACGACGGGTCGGAATAGTTGAGATACACCAACTAGCAGTGTCGGCTCCGGCCCGCTCCCTTTTACCCATAAAGGAGTTACTGATTAGCCTGCTATCACCCTTGTTGTTGAGGCCCAAGCAGGCTAGGGGATAATTCTTTCACTCTTCAATGAGACCAATTCATACATAAATCATACCTCATTTATATCAGCCTAGGTACAACGTGAAGAGCTCATTACTCGGTTCATTATACTTTCCATCTTTATGTTAAAAATCTACGTGCAGATCTGTGTTACCGTATTCAAGCAATTCGCGACTGTGACAGTATGCTTCCGGAGACTTGGCTTTTTTTTCAACGGCATGATGTCAACAATAAGCATAGAACTAGAGTAAAATCCCGACGCAAATGCATCTAGATTTTTTGTACTACAACCTAGCCTATTATCGTACTTTCGACTGCATGCATCTGTGTGACATCTTCTGTGTGACATGACCTGTCGCCGCCCACAACTTCCTCTAGAACAAGACAAAAAAGCCCCGTGCTACAATTGCATTAGACCAAGATAAGATTGCATCATATGTTCTTCAACAGTACCATAAATCAAATTCTGTGCTTTAATCAGGCGGAAAAATGCCACGGAAACATGATCGGTCTCCCTTATGCGAGCGCTCAATGCAGCTCTCGCACCAGACAAGACGAACCTCTACTTACTCTAGAATCCAATCTTCTCGGCATCTGGTTTGAAATATATTCATTCTGGTCATATTGTGCCATTTCAGCTTTATCAAAGTCGAATTTGAGATACACCGAGTCTAGAATTCTGCAAGCGATAATAGGGAATAGAATGGGAAGTAACTACAATTACCATATGCATTGAGCGTGAACAGGATCGTCAAGGGCGTGTATGGGTTATATTACACTATCTACTCTGTCTGTGGTATATCAGCGATCACTCGCGTAGACCGCGTACATCATCAATGCAGCATTTCATCTTACCGCTTTGGAACCCGCATATACGCCAGCCTGCCTCCCTATGAGATCGGTCCTGGCTTGTTTGACCTTTTCGTTATCTACTGGAATATCCATTCTTAGTTCGATGGACATGTACTTACATACTTGGTAATAATAGGAAAGAGATCGATGCAATATCAGGTAGCTTCGCATATGTGGGAGCCCTCATCTTAATCTTTAAATGGCGAAATAGGTCTAACACATACCAAGACATTCAAAAGGAGAACGAAGGCAAGGAATTCCATATTGAAGGCGAGTCAATCATCAATTCTTCTGCAGAGTGCATTCGCATAACATGATGTTACATCGCATCAAAGAAGGCAATGGAACCTGGAAACCTGATGGTTAGCGAAACAAAGATCTTCGCGTAGCGCTTTACCTCGACTGATGTCGGCCCAAAGATCACAAAATGGTACAGGATCGATAACCATCAAATGAGACTATGATCGGACCAATACCACTCTACAGAGAGTGTCTCGAATTCCACCCAACAAACAATATAAATATCTCAAGCCCTCATTCCAGTCACAGGTTCGGATGATCAACTTTCTGCCTGGCTAGAGATAACCACTTCATTTGATGCTTGAATATTCAATAATAAGCTGTATCACTTCAAAATGTCACCAGCCCCTTCCTCACAGTGGGCACAGGTGTGCCAAGACAATGGTACTGTGCAGTACGTTCAAATACCTGTACCGCGTGCTGGAGCAGATGAACTCCTAGTAAGGGTCGAGTATACGGGGGTCTGCCATAGCGATCTCAGGCTTCAAAAAGGTCTTTCTTTGCCTTCACCTGTACATTCCGTGGCGGTATCTCTGACGTAAGCTCACAGGTGGGTGGCCGCTAAAGCTACCAGCGGGCCATGTAGGTATGTCTAAAACTTCTTATCATACCGTTTTATAGTACAAGCTTTGTATCCTAACAATGAGAAGGTGGTCATGAAGGCGTAGGCACAATCATACTTGCAGGTCAACGTGTTACAGATTTCAGGGTTGGGGATCGTGTTGGTATCAAGGTACATGTTGCCTAGCCATATCTATAATAGCTTCTGACTTCAATAGCTATTGCATGACTCTTGTGGAAACTGTGAGTATTGTGAGTATGGAGATCAGCAAGCCTGCCAGGACGCATCCCTCGTCGGTGTCCATGCCAGTGGCACGTTTCAGCAATTCTGCGTTTGTAAAACAGCCCAAGTGGTTCGGATTCCACTAGGTTTAGACTTGGCTGAAACTGCACCGGTAAGGTGATTGCCTTGTATACATAGCATTTACATCTTTGCTAAGAAAGCATATGAGATCATGTGTGCTGGCTTAACAGCGTTTAAAGCTGTGAAAGAAACCGACGCAAAACCCGGAGAAATTGTTGATGAGTCACCGTTCAATGAAATACCTCATTATCTTCTCTGGCGATTTTATGCAGCAATAGCTGGTGCTGGAGGCGGAGTAGGAATTATGGCTTGCCAATATGCCAAAGCTCGCGGCTATCGCGTGCTGGCCATATCCCAGGGAGCTGAAAAACGTAAATTATGCCTTGAAGAGCTGGGTGTGGATTACTTTGTCGACTACCATAAATCAGAAGATCTTGTCAAGGAGGTGAAAGATCTGACCAATGGCGGACCGCATGCTGTCATTGTGACCTCAGCTTCAGATACACTATTGCGTTCTGCTCTTCAGGTAAAGATGGTCCTTGGAAATAGGCATTTGGAGTACATGGTACTAATCGATTGGCAGTACGTTCGAAGAATGGGGACTGTGGTTCCAGTTGGACTGCCTCCGGGTGACCCAACTGCCATAGACGTGTTTGACATTGTGGCTCGAATGATAAGGGTCAAAGGCTCCTGAATAGGCAATGCGGCAGACCTGAATGAAGCGCTCGAAGTCTTTCAAACAAAGCAATTGAGAGTTCCACATAAGCTTATGAGCTTAGAAGATCTTCCACTTGTTTATGAAATGCTTGAGAAAGGTGAGAGATAAATTATCACTTTCGAAGTCTTGTGCTGATGTCAATCGCATTTCATAGGGGATTTAGTCGGCCGAGTGGTACTTAAGATTCCACACGAGTCTTCGAGTTATTTAGAGAGACGATCACTGCACCCATTCGCGGCCTTTCATCCAGATAAGTGGAATACCGCAACTTATCTGGCACAGCGACTAGAAACAATGGGCGTCAAGCATTTTTTTACTGTTCCAGGTTTGTCGTTTATAACGGAGTTGGAAAGTTCAGGTTTGGCTAATGTACACTCCAGGTGATTACAATCTAGGTCTACTCGATGAACTTTTAAAAAACCAGAATCTTCAAATGATCAATTGCTGCAATGAGCTAAATGCTGGTTATGCGGCCGATGGTTACGCTCGTGTAGCTCCATCCGGAATTGCTGTGGTAGTTGTGACACATATGGTAGGGAGCCTGTCCATCATCAATGCTGTTGCAGGAGCCTATTCGGAGAACCTCAAGGTCATAATCGTCAATGGGTCTCTCAAGTCTGGGGACTATCAATCAGGCAAACTATTACATCACACGCTGGGCAAGATTGACAAAGAGGAGTCCTTGAGAATCTACAAAGAAGTAACATGTGCAAGTGTTCGCTTACGACCCGCGCCAGATATTGGCGAACAGCTAGACATTGTACTGCGGCAGTGCATCAAAAGGTCGCTTCCTGTTTATATTGAGATTCCTATGGATGTCGTACAGGTGGCCTGCCTGCCACCAGGAGTTTTTGAAACAAATATGCTTTCTCCTGTCAGTGGTCGATCTAAAATGGCTGCTGAAATTATCGAAAAATCTTTCACATCAGCCAGAAGCCCCGTCATTCTGATCGGAGGTATGACCCGAGTCTATCTCCAACAAGATATCGTATCTTCACTCGCCAGTAAGCTCGGTTGCGCTGTTTTCTGCCTTCCAGATGGCAAATCACAGATCCCTGATTCACACCCGCAGTTTTGTGGTGTGTTCTGGTCAAAGGCTTCTCATCCGGAGGTGGTGGCTACCGTCATGGACTCTGATTTATGGGTTGTGATCGGTGGACGTTGGTCAGATCTACACACAGTAGGATCTGCACTTGATATCGATGGGGAGAAAAGTAGAATTATTGATATTCAAAGTGATTACGTTCGCATGCCCGATGGTAATATCATCGACGGAACCTCACTCCCAGAAGTGATTGAGCAAGTTATCGCTTTCAATATCACTCCGAAAGTTGCGCCACTCAAGCATTTTCAATCAATCAAGGACACCACAGCAAATGGTACAGCCATTCCATCATCTGAGTCACAAATCAGGTTGCAGCACGTCTTGTCAGGTATTGAAAACATACTACGGAGAAACGACAATCTGTTTGCAGATACTGGAGAAAGCTGGTTCAATGCAATGACCATGACTCTCCCGGACGGAGTATACTTTCATATGCAGATGATATATGCCTCAATTGGTTGGAGTCTACCAGCTGTTTTAGGCTCTCAACTCGCCCAGACCCGGGGACGTTCTGTTCTGATGATCGGTGACGGTGCCCTTCAAATGACCGTTCAGGAATTGAGCACTTTGATAAGGATTCGGTCCAATGCCATCATATTTATATTCAACAATCTAGGCTACAGAGTTGAGGTAAGACTAACTCGATGAAGCAATTTACCTTGAACTAACTGGTAGCAGACGGCCATCCACGACGGACCTTACAATTACATCGCTAATTGGGACTACGCAGGTCTTGTGAACAAATTCTGCAGTAAAGTCCATACTTGTTCTCCATACAATCCTTACATGTCGGAGAAAGAAAAGCAAGAATTATTGAACCCAACGATGTTTTCAATGAGAATCGAGACATACGGTGATCTCATCCAGGCACTGAATAGAACCCAGACCGAAAACTCAAAACTAGCTATTTTGGAGTGCTGTATCTACCCAGAAGACTCGAATCCAATGCTCCTTAGATTCGGTTCTAATCTTCATTCAGCTAAAGCGCAGATCAAAGACCATGATCATGTTACTGCCAGACAGGTCAATGGAGTGCATGTGCCCAAGGCTCACCAGCCACGATCACCCAGCAGATCACGACTTGCACCCCTTTCTTCATCTCAACTTATGATTTTAGATCATGAAAATGTACTGGATTTAACTACTGATAGCGAGGACCGAGCATACATGACCACAGACCACATGCTAACTTGTTTGTGGTCAGCGAGTGGTGGATGGGAAGCGCCGAAAATAACTGAGTCTACATCAATCGTTCTTCCTCCGACAGCCCCTAGTCTAAATTACTGGATACAGTGTTTCGAAGGGATGAAGGTCTATCGTGGCTATGACGGAAAACTGCGTCTTTTCCGGCCAGAGTTGAATTGCGAGCGTCTGTTGAACAGCGCTCGCAGAATTGGTCTTCCTGAGTTCGATGTGAGCGAGCTCCAACAGCTGATTGAAACGTTTGTAGGTATTGAGAGCCCTAAATGGCTTCCTTAAGAGGATGCTGGCTCTTTCATGTATATCCGTCCTGTCTTTATAGCTACGGATGCTACACTTGGTATTCGATGCCCATCCAAAGCAATGCTCTACGTCGTTTGCATTCACGATCCACCCTTTTCGCATAATAGGGCAATGAGCCTTATTACAAGTCCAGAGGAAGTATGTCGTGCATGGCCTGGGGGGTCTGGAAACTTCAAAGTGGGTGGGAATTATGCTCCAACAATTCCAAGTTTTGAACAGGCCACAGCGGCTGGATACTCTCAGATCTTATGGCTTTTTGGTAACGACGGTCAAATAACTGAAGCCGGCGTGGGCAATTTCTTCGTCGTTTGGCTTACTGAAGATAATCGTTGCGAAATGTTAACACCGCCGCTTGATGATGGAACAATTTTGCCTGGTGTTACGCGCCAAAGCGTACTCGAACTCGCTACGTCTGAGATAGCTGCAAGGAACAAAGGAAATGGTGAGAGTTTATACGTGCAAGAAAGGAAGTTCACAATACGTGAGATAATCAAAGCATCAGAACAAGGCCGACTATTGGAAGCCTTCATAACTGGCACTGGGGTAAGTTTCCATGCATTTTCTGTCAGCTTCTCAAATAAACTTTAACACATCTTTGCAGTACTTTATTTGTCCTGTAACCAAGATTCACCACCGAGGATATGATATCATTCTACCCTTGGCGCCTGACAATCCATCAACGTACGCGAACATATTAAGACGCTTGCTCGAAGACATCATGTACGGACGCGTGGAGAACTCTTGGGCGAAAGTTGTACATGATGATTAGCACACGCACATACATGATTTATCGACGATCCTACTAGTGCTTCGGAATTGCTCTTGGGACATAAGAATATGAAGATCATACTGAAGTCAGTATGGTAAATAATGTCATAGTACTGTGGGGCAAAGAAGATTTCGGAGATCGTTCAGACCCTCTATACAAATTCATGGTTAGAAATCTTCATTAACACACGTCGAGTGTCAACAGCATCCTTACTAAATTACCTGTGGTGATGGATAGACTATTTGGGAGAAATATGAGACCTTTTATTACGTGAATATCAATAGATGTATTACATTATAGTTCAGAAGTTATGAGCGGGATATTCTAGATATCGATATTCCTGTTCTAGATCGTGTAAATGCTTACCTCGTCCTTGCAGTAGGCTACCGTGGTAGTGGTTTTGCCTGGAAACTTATTTCTAAGCGTAATTGTACTAATGAGCTCTTGTACACTTGTCTACTTTAGCCGATTCTCGCATCGTCGTTACTGGGTTACTTAATACAAGCTAATAGTGAGCTGTTATTCAGTAGTATTACGGACAATAGAATCAAATTCGAGATTCATATAAGATATAGATACTCGCTTCTATTCTAAATCATTTGGCTTAGGTTTGGTCTCACAATGGCGAGTTACCCTCTAGGCATCTGTGTTGTGTAAGCCCAATCTACAATCATAACCAGAGATCATCAGCAGTCCCGTTAACCATCCACGCCCAGATGCCCATAACAGTCCAGTAACCCATCGTTGTTCCAAACAGCGTCGCCTATAATATGTAAGACAAGTAAATGCACAACAAGGCTAGTGTTGTCATTTAAATCAGGCAACAAACTTACTAATATCAATGGTAGTCGCGTAACCCGTCCCAGCATAGATACATGACGTACAGTACAGGTACTTAGTACCATCTCCATCCTCAAGAGAACAACCGGAACATGACTTTGAATAGTCGCCACTGATATGATCTCTTAGAATGACAGCGATTTGGGCATCTAGAAATCGAACTTACTTGTTTCCTGCCTTCAATACACCGTCATGATTCCAAAAGCAGAGGTCTAAATCGAGCTCGGTATCAACCCAATGGCCACTTTCATCTTCGCAAGAGGCATCGATGAAAGTTCCGTCGAGTGCCGCATTAACAATACAGTCCGTCGAGAATCCTGCGCGAACTCCGGGGATCACTGAGCCAGCAAGGAAGGCTACGAGACAGGACCATAAGAGCTTCATTACTGCTGCACTTCTGAGGCAACTTTGCGTTGGCTGATTCAAGAATGAGAAGGGTGAAGATCTCGTACCTCCATCGACTGGGGAATCGGATGAACAACTATATGATGTTAGAAACTTTGAACTTTATAAGGAAAAAAAGCCATGGTAATTCGTCTCGGACATCGGCCGCCTTGGCAAAGCTTAGAATGTAGTCTCGTGCGCATAAAAAAAGCCTTGACCCCTTTTAAGTCTAAATTAATCTCATTTCCTGCCGCCTTCTCTCGACTCTGTCTGGCATGGAGCTAGGTACAAGGGACGCAGGGTGGCCGCCCCGAACCCGTGATTGGCGGTACCACAACCATCAAACCTATCTTCGCTGTTCCACGAATGAAGCAAAATCCTTTAGCGTCCGTTTTGTTTCGCTACGAATATGAAATACATTGAATTGATCAAGTGACACGGCTGAGTTTCTCGGATAAGCTTAGTGGCGAGCTTAGTGACGATACTTTAAGTTTAAGGTGCTGAATGTGGGTCGCCTTTGTATGTATACGAATAGTATCTAGCCAATATCGGTGGGTTAGCAAATCCACCATACCAGCCGCAATACGAGACGAAATCTGCTTCGAATATCGTCTTGCGGGCAACAGTCAACCAAGATAAAAGTGGCGGGTGCAGCAAAATCAAAAAAGACCAATAAACGTAAAGTTAAGACAATCGGGTGATTGTCACTGTGTTGTCGTAATACTAGACAAAGTCTAACAGAAGCCAGCAATATCTTTGTTACGATACGCTTACCCTTGGAACAATCAGAACTTACAAAGAAGGTATGAACGCTATGTACTAAATATAATGCAGTGTTGTAATGGAATTAACAAGCTTACTAAATTTGCAAAAGAACTATCATTGAAAAGTTTGCAGACGCTGAGCTAATCTCGGAATTACCATAATAGGCTATTATGAGATGATAGAAAACATATTGTCACACCCACGTCCTAGGTTCCACCGTGCGGCTGAGTGAGATCGAGATTCCCCATGGTGTAGGCTACAGTAACCTTATAACTGTGTCAGGTAGGGACAAGGTGCTAACCAATGAATAAGTGGCGTTGATGTTACAGTACAGAGTAGTATGGTATAATATAGCTAGCGAGGATGATCATGATGGATACTATGAGATTGATAGGATGCTCCAACATTAATTTATTCTCCAGATCAACACGTGCAATTACTATCACAATGCAAAGCTACGCCATGACTTTGCAAGGACAGACAATGATGTGTGTGGTTTACATATCAGCGACTCTGATTACAACTTTTCCATTAGCTTTTCTTGCCTCAACTTTGTCAAATGCCTGCTGAAAATCTCCAAAGTCTAGAACACTATCCACCTTTGTAACGCACTTTCCTTCTTTGGCAATCAACTCGGAAATCAGCTGCAGATGCTGACCGTTGGGCGCAACAAGCATCCATTTTGCTATTTCCAGAGTCTTAGTGGACGAGTCAGGCTTCTCTTTTTCAGGATCGCCGGTGATACTAAGGAGGACTCCTCCCTCTCTCACAGCCGACCAGCATGCTCCGAGCGTCTTCCCTCCAACGCAGTCAAAACAAAAATCCACTTCTCGTGTGGCCCGGTTTTTTGCAACCCAATCTTCAACACTTTCTTTCTTGTAGTCAATAGCTTCTGTAGCACCTAGCCCTTTAACATGTGCTGTATTGAGACTATCGCACAAGGCAACAATTCGCCCAGCGCCTGCCAGAGCAGCCAAATAGACTGCCCAGCCTCCAACAACCCCGGAAGCGCCAGTAATGAGAATGCTAACCTTCTGGTTGCTTTTTCGGGCTGCAGTATCTCCGAATATTGCCCTGGCATCTAAAATACCGTGCTGGAAGACGCCTTGCCATGCTGTCAAGGAGCTGAGCGCGGTTGACCCGGCCTCGATCCATCCCATATTCGAGGGCATGTGTGCTATCTGCGATAATCTCGCTAAGGAATACTGACGTAAATGTCCAGTTTGTTCCGGCTCGACCCGGAAGAAAACCCTGTCGCCGACCTTGAAACCTGAAGTCTGAGCGGCATCTCCCTGCGGAACTTGTACTATAACCCCAGCGGCTTCAGTACCGGGGACTCTTGGGCTACCTGCCGGAACAATATTGGGAAACCAAMCCTGCCAATGTAGTTCCCCAACACAGGGCGAGGTCGTATACACCTGGATCAGGCAGTCTTCTGGATGCGATGGCCTTGGCAGTGGCGCTTCTTCCATAGTCAAGGTTGTAGAATTAGGATCGAGTTGATGTACAATCTTCATAGTCTCAGGTAGAGTAAGAGATGGCATCCTGGCTGATGTGTGGAAGTCGTGCGCAACCAGTTCAGATCTCTTGAGAGCGTTTAAGAAGTTTCGACCAAGTATTCCGAACATAGGATTCGCCTGTGGAATGTATTAAGACACTTGAAAGCGAATATGCGAATTGGTGAAATTCTACATCATTTATTCATTTTGCGTCCTAACCCCAAAAATGTAGATTCTATATTCGTGCCACACTAGCACAGTATGGCCATCTGAGTGCCGCATTATTGCATGCGGAGTCCGAATAGCCTACTGTGGAGACCGATGACAAATCCCAATATGCTGGTGTATGTTAATGCCATCCGCAATCCTTGCTAGGTTATCCGTCGAGATGGATAGGCTAACCAAGAAAAGTGTAGAATTTTTAACGTATGTTTATTAAGTCATTTCAGACTGTACTTATTGAAAATGCCTGCATTATTATGACATGCCATATTTTTCTTAATCTGGTCCCTGCAGTAGGCGGCCGTGGTAGCGGGTTCTCCGAACAGGCTAGGAACTGATAGCCTATCCATTTGCTAGCGTGGTTGTACGAATAGTCTCCTTACGAATTCCCTCACATCGCGGTCGTTGCTGCGTTACTTAATACGGATCTTGCCTTGAAGGCCATAAGTGAGCTGTTATCGGGAGATGATGTTTTGCATATCCACATAATTCACCCCAGTATATATATTACAACCATACTGGACTCAAATTACCTCTCACTCTTACCTCTATCTCATCCACGGATAAACCTAACTTGTACACTCAGTTACCTGGTTCTCAACATGGCGCAAGGCACGATTGTAGAAGACCCTCCTAGCTACGACAGAAGGTATACTCACGAACCTATGAGCAATTCTCGCATTGACTCGCTAATCAGAGATATACAGCCGCCCGCTTCCGTCTGTCGAGCTTGCCTATCAATATCAATTACCAAACTGCCCCGGAAAGTCCTCCATCGGTTTGAAGGTCACCTTTCCTCCGAATGCTTCAACCCCTCCTCACCGGCACGCGGGAGCGTCAGTGTCCGTGCTGGTACTCGAAGGCACTGTGCTAAACAAAATGAACGAAGAGCCAACCCGGACATTCACAAAAGGAGGAAGCTTCTTCGAGGCTCCGAGATGTCACCATAAGGTCAGCGACAATTACAGCACAACGGAGTCAGCTGTGATTCTTGCGACACTGGTCGTTGACACCGAGGTTGTAGAAAGAGGAGGGATCGCAGCTCTGACAGTCTTTGATGAGGAGTACAGAGATATTCAATTTTAGACTTCTTTGCGTGAAGTGGGGTCTGTTGTTAAATCATGGTGGAGTTCCGGAAGATCCATCGGCGAACAGACGTTGCGCTGGGAAAGGTCTTTTTTTGCTGGAATCTGCATGCATCTGGCGGATAGTGTCAAATTTGTAGTCTTTCTCATTCAATCAACACTTGTAACTACCTGAAACTCTGAATATATGTCTCGCATATTTTTACTTAAGCACGTGATCCATCATAGGTCTAGTGGCTCACCCAGATTAGTCCTAGCGCACCGGGTATCACCCCATTTTTCATTTATTCAACCGCATCCGGAGTCGTTGAGCTCGTCAGACGTCCGACTCTAACCCCTCTTTCTACGCGTGGCATTCGCTACAGTATCTGCGTGAGAAATGGCCGAAAAACGGGTGCAAAGCACACGAGTGTCGCTAGCATGTATTCAATGTAGGGCAAAACACATTCGCTGTGATGCGACCAAGCCCGCCTGTTCCCGATGCCTGCGGGAGCGACAGGTTTGCAATTATCCGAATTCCAGGCGCGGTGGTCTTACTCGAGCCTTACTGGCCGCTCATAAAGCGCGGAGTAAAGAAATTGAGGGAAGTTCTAGCAGCTTACCAGGCCGGATGGTATATTCGAATTCACAAGCTCATCCCACCATTTCGGCCGCATCTTCTTCGCCGTCGAACACATCAAGCGCTATAGAGGCTGCCCCTCTACCTCTAGAATTACACCCCCCATTCTCAGTAATTGATATAGCGTCGACAGATCTTCATAATGACATGTTCATCGCGGTGTTTTACAAGTGCTTCCATCGTTATCACCCCTGCGTCCTGCCCCTGAAACGACTCCAGGAGTTTTTCGGCAATCCGTCCTTTCGCGATCAGCTTTTCCCGGTCATAACGGCTGCTCGGTTTATTGGCTCCATCTACGCACGATCCAATTTCACGGATCAACTTAAGGCACAAACAGAGAGCGCCATCGCCATGGCGCGCCAAAACCTATCGCCATCTCCCTTTCTCGCGCAAGCTTTGCTTCTATATTCCATATCGTTGTTTTGGTCACAAGAGGACAGCAATTCTCGGAAACAAATGGACTTGGCTCTGCAGACAGCATTTGACCTCGGTATGCATCGCCGCGGTTTCGCCGTCAGCTTTGCTCCGGATGATCCAATACTACAGGAATGTTTTCGGAGAACCTGGTGGCAGATTTACATCGTCGATGCCGCGTATGCCGCAATTGAGCGCTTGCCAACTTTTACGGCCAATAGTGTGATTAGCGATGTAGATTTGCCCTGCGAGGAGGATGAATACGAGAGCAGTGTAAGACATGTCTTTTCCATGCCAAGCATCTAGGTATATTATGACAATGGCTGATGGCATCTTTGAAATAGACAATACCTGAACCTTCACTTCTAGCTGAGTTTGACTTCCGTGAATTTGAGTCGGAAGGAAAAGTCTATTCTTCCTTCGCTTACCTCGTTGGAGTCGTCCGAGGTCTATCACAAACTTCGATGTCGGTACCTTGGCAAGGCGATGGAAACCCGAGCTCGGAGGGCGTTGCCGCAATTGACTCCGTCATTGATGGATGGCTCCTACTCCTGCCAGAATCCAAACAACAGGTTATGAACAGCAGTGGTGAAATTGACGAGCTGTTATATTTCGCCAACATGTGGGTCCATGCGTAAGAACGTCTCCGTACATGAAAATTTAACAGTTTACCTGCGCTAACTTTCTCTTCAGCGCATTAATCTCTTGTCATAGAGCATTATCGGACATTATTTTCAACCCTCTGGAAGTTCTCTCTAGCTGCGCTGGCTCGCCTCAGATTAATGCATTTCCAAGCGAGATAAAACAAGTCCACACCAAGAGGTGTATCTCATCTATCCAGCAGCAGGTTAGCCTCCTTACTCTCCCTAAGCGGCCATTTTGCCACAGCCCTTTTATTATTTGCATGGTCGTAGTCGGCACGTTACCTTACTTCTCGGCTTGCACCTGCCTTCTGCGAGGTAGCGAGCTTATTGTCGCGCGGGAACAGATTCGTGTAATTATAGGATGCTTAAAGGCGCTGGGCGACGTGTGGAAGAAAGGACGGAATCGTGTGCAGGAGCTACAGGCTATTGGCAAAGAGATTATAGGTGCTACAGAGGTTCGCAGTGTGAGAATGAGCGAGACGGCCGCTGCAAACGAGGCACAAAACAAATCTAATCAGACTCCTACTTTGCTGTCCTTCGATGACTCGGGTTTACTCTCATCCAACATAGATGCAAATGAGTTTGCTCAATTGTGGCCATGGATGAATCAGCAGCTGGATATCAATACATGGATTACCGATGAGTTCCCAGCGCAGTAACTAGAGATCACTAAAAAGTGCCCTACTCAATGTGGAGATATTCAGCATCACCTTGTTATCAGCCGTCGTTCACTTCTAAATCTTGATTCTGAGCACTTCGTAAATTATCTTTGGAGACTTGTTACTACTGTTACACTATTGTTTTTGAGAGATACAGTTTTAGTCCGCGAGCATGACTTTTGAATGAGGCTTTGGAATTTATAGGTTCTTATTGGTAGATTGAACCACAAAACCCTTCATAGCATTACTTGGTGTCGAATTAGCACTATAATTTCTACATGGAATTTCATACCTAGTTTAAACCTAAATTTGAAAACGGCTTCTTGATGTTCAATAAGGAAATAACTTGATAGTGAAAATGGTAATATGTGTCTTTGGGAAATGTACACAGATCTAGGATTTCTTATCAATCGAGAAAAAGTAGGACAACAATCGCTAATAAGACACTAGTAAATTAAAAAGAAAAGGCAAAACGTAATATGTGATGAGAGGCTAGTATAACCTAGTCAGTATATGACGAGACTGTTGTCCGTGGTGAAACCGTAGCGCCACCAAGCGACTGCTAAGGTACGTACTGATATACAGAATTGCTGTATCAACACTAACCAATATTATTGTCATCATCTTACGTTAGAATTGACGATTGTACTTGATCAGCACCATTTTGGAAGTGGTTTAGCGAGTAGTGGATCTAGAAACATAATTCATATTTGCAAAAAATGGTTGTTTTCAAAATAGGAGCAGACGAGTCCACTCCCAGCAATTGAAGTTCAGGGCTGCCCAGCATCCTGAATGAGTCGTCAGAACTGAATCACGGATAACATCAAAAATATATACAAAGAACAGTATAGGCAAGTCAAACAAAACAAGTGTCAATACACATCTCATACATGGTGAATCGATCCTATACCCTGGCATTACAAACAATTCTTATATGTAAGTAGACCTCCGAGATCTAATTCGAAACTAGTACCTAGGCGGTGCAGGTTCTGGCAGCGAGAACCCAGCCAGTCAGACGATTGGCGACATCTGAGGAATAGCAAGGAGTGCTACCGAGGCCATCGTCCAAATTTGTGTAGTCGATAGAGCCGCTATTGTAGAGTCGTGCAGCGGAATAGTAAACTCGTGGCGCAATATCGAGGCCGAGGTACGTCTGCACCTGCGCAATCAACTGCTCCAGGCCATTACCGGATGAGGTACCTTCAGTTCCATCCTCGATCATCTGGGTAATCTCGGATTGCGGGCATGGGTTTGTGCCGGCGCAGGTGCCAGTGCCATCATGGGACTGCATGAGGCCGGGGTTCACGACACCGTTGTTAGTGGTAGGTACACGGACACATCCCTCACTTTCCTGCATCACGATCGCCAGAATAAAACGTTCATCAACGCCACTAGCACTGGCGACACTCTCAATGGCGGTTTGGATGTATGAAATCTCAGTAGCAGAGTCGTCCGCGCCCCATCCATTCCATCCACAGGTTTCGCTCATGATAGCGGAATTCGCTTCCCAGAGTTGATCCCAGGTACCCCAGCTGTCGATTGACGGCCAGCCAGCATCAGTAGAGCCATCACCTGTATAGTAGGTGTAGGTGTCAGCGAAGGCTGTAGAGCCCGAGACGAGGGCTAGTAAAGCAGCCGAAGAGAGAAGAATTGAGTTGTACATAGTGAATGCTTGATTAGTTTTTCGTAATTGAAATGAACGACAATGAGAAATATAATGAACGTCGGGTGCTCTGTAGCGAAGCGATTTAATGCTCTGTCCAGAGGTATATTGAGAATAGATAGATAACATCAAGCCCTTTATATCTTTTTCTTGAGCTCTTTCCAGAGTATCAACCCCCTAGAATCGCAATATCGTCGTCAGCATCCACCTCGCTGACAGAACAAGGTCACAAACTTCATGTCAGACATTGTAACGTTTTATCCTGTGTTGTGCCCTAGGGTGATATGTCTCCTTAGACGTATTCACGACGCTTGTCCCATGATACTACTGCTCGATACTCCGGAACACCGGTACGTGCAACGAATAAATGACTCAGAAGTGCTTTATCGGCGAACGAAGCTGAATAAAGAAAAGGCTGCGCCTAATATCCTAGAACTTATATTGCTACGCTGTCGGGCTACTTCTTAAGGCAAGAGTTGAAGGTGGCGTTCAGTATACAACCCTAGTTAAATTAAGCAGGTAGTCACTCCAAAATTTTCACACTTAGCTGACTCTCCGTGTTCAGCCACATCTCTTGGACTCTCCGGCAGAATTTTGGCATGTGTGCTAGAGAAGGCAGGGTTTTCGTTAGAGCTGACAACACCTGATTATTCTTCAGCATAAAATTTAGAAGACGAGGTCAATTCCATCACGAAGTGAAGTGGCAGCCAAGCGATATGGTATACTCTTTGTGGACAGTAGAATTAGACTCAGGTTTCTTAGATTGCGCTGGATACAAGATAGGTATGTAGCGGGATGTAACTTTGTGACGCCACGAAACATTGACTAACTTTGCTCGGCATTTGAATTCATACATCATGAAATATACGCCACAATGAACATTGAGAAGCGGCATGTAATTGGCATTAGACTACAGCATGTTAGTCCCAATGGGTTAATGAAACCTGACAGTCAAGTCACGGATAATCGGAAAATGCACTGATAGGGGCCTCGCTTGAAGCGGTCGTTCCTACCTACGAACCTAAGAAACAGCGTAAACACACACCCGCTACCAAAAGACTCAAAATAGTAAGTGGTCAGGGTATCTGCGCAAACGTAAAAAAAGTCCCACCTTGGCGTATAGATTCTTGGATTATTACTGATTGAAGTAGCTTCCTTGAGCGTGGTCTGACTTCTACACCTAGGTGAACTATTGAGCCCGGTCATACCTTAGCTAGCGTAGCAGTCATCAATGAGATTGTAGAGTGGTATAAAAGCTGTCCTCTCAACCAAATCAAACCTAGCTTCTTCTTATAAAGCCTATTGTGTGTCGCGTGAATTTCCTTAATGTCTTCGTTCATAAGCGGAAAAAAAACTCCCTAATGTAACGGAAGGACCACGCATTCTCCGCCCCCAGGCTTGCGACACCACCACATGAAGCAAGCTACCTCGCGATCAAGTTAGCCTTAGCCTGCAGGAACGTAAACCATCCGCGTGTTTATTTTCCGAGATCGTTATCTCTTTTGAATAAGCTCGGTTATTAGAGCATCTTCTTCTAAGGTGTAGCGATCACGCCGCCAGCATGGTCTAACTTTGTCTTTAACTTCTACGCCACGACTTGAGGTGGTCAATAGAAGAGCACAATCATGTAAAGGTTACTGATTGTCATACTGTATTATTAAATCTCTTGTTCTGCCTGGATTGGCTGTCACTGAGGAGCCAGAAGCGAGACGCGCTGAATAAGCCGAAGGATCGATTTTTACAGTTTCTGACATCTGTTCTACCCTACACTCGACAGGACCTGGCCCCCACTACCTGTTATTACTAACCGGTAAGCATTTGTCGGCATTAATGCCGGATCTTCGATCTCCAAATTCATAACCGAAATTCATTCTTGAAACTCGAAAGTGGAGTACTGCACCACCACGTGTGATGTTGAAACTTATTGTGTCTCTAAGTCCTAGGAGCTGGTCCGAAAATATAGTTAATAAATTATTTGAGCAGATTTACTGTTTAGATACCTATAATTATGTTTAGCTCTATAAAGTCTCTACTTCTTATACAATCTTTAAGCGATATCATAGCTCAACCACCGGGGCTTGTGCAATTCCTACTTTGCTTGTATGTTGAAGACAGTGCTCATCGTGTGAATCTCAGCTTTCACCGGGGCTTTTCCGAACGGCAATAAAGGATTCCTGTATTTAGAAACGTCGTTTCGTTGCATCATTTTGGACACGGGCTTTGCAAAACCATCTCCCATTCCTGCCGGATGAATTGCCACGAAGCTTAAATGGAAATGGGATTTCTATCTTTTGTCTATATTTACTGGCATATCTCTTGTCCTCTATCTTTAACTCTGCTAGAAACGACATTCAAAAGAAGCGCAAACTATAACATGATTTGACTTCTCAAGATAAAGGTGACTCTACTTGCAGCCGCTACCACCAAAGGATAACATGATCTAGCTCACCAGGAAATACTAGATTTGATAGTCGTGGTGCAAAATAAATTGCTCGCAAATTTGAAACTAAGTATGAGCCATTCGATATCGCGAACGTAGAAACAGCAAGTAACTCTACTATATTCGGGAAGACCGTATTGATATTCTACTGCTGTGATCGAGGTTTTCAACCATAGGAAGCTCAATGAATCAGTGGATCACAATAAAGGCTTCTGACTACCGTCTATTTCTGTAGAGCCTGGGCAACGGCAAATTCCAACAAGCTCATTGCCGTGGTAATATAAGAGTGCAAGTTTTTATGAGCTACCATGTATTTTGAAATATATTACCTCCAGGTGTATAATTTAGGCTCTATCCCTAGATAACAAGAACCACATTTTATTTCTTCCTTTTGCTTGATTCCACAAAAGACGAGGTATTTCTGCTTATACACTTTCCTTTGACTTCTTCGCTCCCATTGTGAACGTGGTGACTCGAGGTTAACCCTCGGGAAGCGATCATCTTTCTCAAAGGCTAGAAAGTCGTAGCTTTCAACCATCCATCTAAGTACAACGGATACCCTCTTGTGCTTGGCATTAAGATACTCGACTTGTTAGACATTATGGAGTTCCGAAAAATCCGCCTTGCGGTCATACAGTTTCGAAGATTCATACAAGCGGTATGCGTATGGTGCTCGGTATAGCTAAGTTATCGCACTACGTACAACAGCTTCGTCGTAATCCAGTGTCTCATTTGCGTTCTCAGTCGGCAGTAAAATAGATGTGCCCAATAATCAGCTTTTGGTGGAGCCGTTTGATTTTCGTCCGTCGAGTTTTCCAATTGCATAAATTTCGGAAGAACTTCTAGAGTCTCTAAGAGGCCATAATCATGGACACTGAGCTCAATAACTTCCATTCGAAATGTATCGCCTGTAGGTGCGAGACATGCGACGTAGTATCCGCCTATGTTGAGAGAATGAAGCACGTTTGGTTCCCATAGCTTGATCAAGTTGTTCAGGCTACGATGGCCAGCTACATGCGGGTAATTTCTAATGAACATGCCACGTCGTTAGTGCGAACAAATTGATGCTTGCACATAGCAATTGGTGAAACGAGTTCCGCGTTTGGCAAACATGTCAATGCTTGGAGTTTTCACGTGCTGTGATGTGCATCAGTACCATCGTTTTTAAACAGGAAATAACAAAAGAAATGAATCTCGGGTTATTCCCAGAGCAGCCAAGAGCATCGTAACATGGCTGATTCGGCATGGAAATAATCAAATTGGCATTTTTATTAGACAAGCCATGTGGTACGGTCGGAATACGGTGCTGCGAGCTCATTTTTAGGTTGCTTGGATCTCGGACGAGAGCCAAGGTTACAAAGCTCAAAGCCGAGCCCACGATTAGCCTAAATCCCTAAGAACTACGAGCAAATAGAAGTTTCAGGTCCTTGTTGAAAAGTTCTGCTAGCTGTGAGAAAGACTCTGAGGTTGGTATAGTTATGTCTTTCAAGAATACTGCAGTGCTCTTAAGCCTGTGTGTCGAAGGTCGCCTTTCCAGTAGGGTTTTCTTTTTCAATTACCCTACCGGATGCTGGTTCCGCGTCGATGTTGGCTTCGGGCCGAAAGGCGGATCCGGAACGGAAGTCAGAGCTGCCCTCGGAACGCTCTCCAATTGGACGGTCCGCAGTGAGGGTAAGTTAAGCTGACAGCGCCAACTGGAACTTACCTACAGTTTTAACATATAATTGAGATCCTCCTATATTCCGACTTGGTCAATAAATCATGAGTTGTATTATATTAAAAAAGAAGCTCCGAATACCCCTATCATCAGGATGTTGTAAGGGCGTATCATCTGAGATCTAGCTTTACGATATGGACTCATCAATAAAATATATAACCGAGAGATCATCTTGAACATAGCAAACATAAGGCATGATAGTTCGACCCGTGGATGTTGACGGTCTCTGACCGATCGGATGCTATGAAGTTCACGCTTACAAGATCGACTCGATTGTATACATGTTATTAAAGCTTCTTTACCAACCGCATCACATCTTTGCGAGACTACATGTAAAACCTACTAGCAATACATAGCGGAATAAGATATACGGCTAACACAGTGTGTGCCTTAGAATCAGCAGATGTTGATGATTCTAATACCCAGGACAGCTACAATATATATAGTTGCTATCAATGCATAGTCCGAGTAAACTCGTCAACTAGACTTTGTCCTCATCGCGCAGTACTAAGTCTGGAACACCATCCTATACCGTCAATTATAATAACAACCAGACAGTCAAAAGAACCCTGTACTAAGGTTTATTTGTACGCATATCAAAATTGACAGCGTTATTTCAGATCGGTACATACTCTCGAGAAAATTGTTGACTCAAAGTCATCTAATCCCAATTGTGCCCCTCATCTCTTGCTCTCCAGACTCTGTTCCTGATGAATTTCAAGGTCTGAAGTGATGTACCCGGCTTCCGTACGCTCTAAATACCCTGGAAGATATTGATTGCCGCGATCCGATCATTTTAACTCTGGAGTTCACAACCGGCGATTAAGGCTAGGTTGAGAGCCGCAATTCTTCGCTAAGCCTGCTTAGATATATCACGACTTCTTTAGCCATATCTAAAGCTTGCTGGTCGTTCTCTATCGAGCTGCTAGCACTATGCAATAAGCGAAAAAGCATGAGTAAAGCAGTAGCTTGGTACGCATTGGTGTTGGCTATAAGCCGCTGCGACAATGCGGAAGGGGCACCGTCCGGCAAGCCTCATTGCAAGGATATTATGCGAGACCGCAGATGATTGGCCTTCTATGTAATTAGAGAAATATTGTCCGATCCGTAGGCGATGGTCTGGACGGGTTGTGCAGGATTGCGAGCATTTTCTGCGAGACCACACAAGTCTTCCAGTTATGGCATCAGCGTCGTGGTATAGCCCATAAATTGATCATGAGTCTGATCTTTCTGATCGAGACATTTTCGCGTTCTGATCGAATTTCGGCTTAGAAGACTCAACGACATGATCATGCCATGTCGGGCGAGGGCGTGAATGAATTACTTGGCTAATGAGCTTAGGATGAGACCAGATTCAATATATTTGTTTATGATCGATGTGGCGTAAGTAATTACAAGCGAAGATGCACGTTCATGAGGTTGATATCTCATGTCGATCCCCGACTTGATATTTTAGCTCAGCATGCATAAGACAAGTGTTCAGACCAATCACCTCCATCACACTCAGCGCCAAGGACATGATAACCATTTTCTCTAGCTCACGAGTCGGAGACTACCAGAGAGGTCAGAATTTTCGCTCGTTGGTGAGTGTCAACGGGAGCGAAGCGCCTTGGCTGTCTTCTTCGAGGTAGATCCAATAGAGCAAAGAGCTTCAGACGCCGCTTTGAGTTCTTCTTGAAATACCATCCAGGTCGAGGCATTAATCTAGTGCAAAAACTCTAGGTTGATGACTTGCTCGAAAGGATGTCGGTTAAACTATAGACTCATGGTTTTTGAGTCGTCCGTTGAAATGGCACCTTACTGTATCGTATTAAGTGATTGAGGCATGGGAGTAAAAGACGTCATTGACCCGCATGAGGTGGTTGAAACAATACCAATAGATATGGGCATTCCAAGTGCATCAAGCTGATTCAAAATAGGTTCGACGTCTCTCTGAACTTGTATTATGGAACTGATAGAGGAGGATTTGTTGACACTTTCTTCTATACCACTCTCCACACGTGCAGAGTCTGGCACCGAAGTCTGTGATTCAGATTCTGTCATGGAATTCTCTACTACTGATCGATTTTCTCTTGCATGCTCTAGGCGATAAAAAACGAACCTTGGTTTTCTCTCAGGTGGATCGGTGATTTGACTTGGGAGAGGGTTATATCCTCGACAGCCACCGCGTCGACGAGCACACGCACCGCATGATGGACGGACCTTGTCGCATCGAACTTTCGCTATTTTACAATTGATATTTACACACCCGCCTTTGGACCGGCGACGGAGGTCTACCCTCAGGGGATGTCACAGGCGTTTGATGCATATGAGTCTCCATTGAGGCGTACATGTTTGACATTGTCACAGTAACCTAGAAATGTTAAGCAGCTTTCTGACTGCGTTCTAACAGTCACGATATTTTTAGTTGTGACAAGTCATGGTAAGCGCACTGATTCTCCGGATGTTTGTTTGGGTCAAGGTCGTTGGACCGGGGCACACTCAATGAGAATCTCGTGGAGTTGCAAGCACGGGCTATCTGTTACTAACGACAATAAATAGGTGTTTAATCATGCCGATTGAAGCCAGGCCTTGATGCGATCGCTACGGATGTCGAAATACATCTCATCACTCCACATCATAGGGGAGAAGAACCGATTTAGTCCCGAAGTTCGCTATCAAAGAGAGTCCCCAGCAATAGATGGTCGTTTCCGGATTTTATACATAAAAGGAACTGAAAACCCAGATTCGACTGTTATCTCCGTGGTTGGTAATGAATGTAAAAGACCGTACCTTGTAGCTTGTGACTTGTAAGCCACGAGATGAACTACTGACATCTTGTCATTAAGACGTGGCAAATTTCCAAGGTTCTCAAAGTTCAAGCTCAAAGCTTGACCGTACAGTATAGAGCCACATGCACCATTCCAGTCATGAAGAAAATGCTTATATTGAATCTGGCTTTATCGGAGTCGCCAATGCCTCCGTATACGCGTCACATGACTCCACATATGAGACCAAACGACAAACGACGTCTCTGTCCTAATCGGGCGTCCGCTCCTTCCCTTTCTCCAACACCTCGATACCCCTCCTTCTCCCTCTCTCTCTCATCTCATCAATCCCCCTCTCTCAACCTCTTCATATCTCACTTCCCTCCCTCATATTCATCATCTCTCTTACTTTCTTTACCTCTTTTCAACTTCATCTCTCTCACGTTCTCACAATTCCTTCGCTCCATATACCATCGTGGTAACAGGCCGCTCCTCTCTCATATCATCGTGCCTCGCAAACACTTGGCGAAGCATTCCAGGCGCTAAGACCTCGTGTCTTCTGTGAGACGCGAATACCGCTAACAAGCTTCATAGATAACTTACAAGAGCGTACAACAGCCATGGCCAGCAATTCAACTTCGCATAAACGGCGCAAAGTGGAGGTGAGTGATTTAGGATATCTGATGTGTTCTACATGACAAAGTAACGCAAGAAGAATGCCCAGAAGCCATTTCGTCTCATGGACTTACCACCTGAAAATCCTATCATGACCTATCCATTCGCCGTCGTCAATCAGAGCCAAAGCGACTGATTTTCCGATTACTGTACACTGGTTCCGCCAGTCATTTCATGAGCATCCAAGCAGATTCGTACTGAAGTCATGCCAATATTCTATGGAGAGTATTCATTCGACATCCACATGGGGATTGATGTACTTGAACTCGATGATTATGATACTCCTACCAAGCAAAAGGACCATACAAAGTTGGAAGAATTTCTTCGAAATGTGCTCTTGCATGGCTGCGGCTAGCGGGTTTGGCTACATCAAAAGTTTGACAGTGAGATACAGCGAGTCAACGTGAGGAGATTTGTATAACTACATATTTAGTTTCATCTCAATGGTACCAGGTAGGGAAAAGAAAAAGCGTGACCAAGATCGTGATAATGACCTGGACCGGAGTGACTATCTAGAAGTGACAGAAGCGGTATTAACTAAATTACGATGAGTTGTGGGCAAAGATGAAAGTCGAGAATTATGCGATCGTGTTCCAGTCCCAGGCATCATTCGAGTCTTCACACACCTGCTCAGCACTGTCGGTACGCAAAGAGGCACGTCGAGCTATGGTGGGACCACGCTCACAAATATTCCGACAAGACCGCTTGCAATCAGCCTTTACTGAGGTGTGCCTGGAGTCATAACACCCCAGGAGCGAAATGAGGCAACAACAGAATAAAATTTAAGATTTAAGTACTTCTCTGTAACTTTGCGAAGGGATTGAGTCATAGCATGAAGGGTTGCGAGAAGCGCAAGCGTGTTAAATGGTATCGCGCTGACAGAGATATCGAAAAGCAGTCAATCTAAACCATTACAACGATTTTGCATCCATCCAAGTGGCCGCTCGACTTCAAACGTTGACTTTCCATCCCATGGTCTATGTATTATCTGTAGCCGTTGATTATACATGCTACTGCTTCTTCAAATTCATTCGATAACATTGGAACATTATTTATTTACCTAGGTAGAAAGAATATATACATTCAAGAGAGGAGATAAGCCATGGGAAAGTCTTGACACTGACATGAAAAAGACTCGTCGGATCTTGTCATACGTGACAAATCAGCGTGATGACTGAGAGTTTATGGAACGAAGACCATTCTCATTCACAGCCTCACGTCCACTCACCTGTGCTAACTTCATCTCTTCCTTTTCATCTCCCTTCAATCCGAACTCAGTAACAAGTTCGGTACGTAGAGGCACTTCCTTAAGGACAACAGCGAGGGGAACAGCTATTACAGCGAAGGCGATGAGAACCTGCCAGACCTCTTTGAGGCCTTTGGTATAGATATCGATAAGCTCTTGCTTTACCGCAGGTTGAACATTCAATGTAGAAATGAAATCGGCGGTAGCATGCTCGTAGGCACCTCCACTTTTCAGAATTGCGCGGATAGCTGGGTCACTGATGCTAGTCAGGAGATTGTCAATTCTCGAATTAAAGACGGCGGCAGGGATTGCTGCACCCCATATCGAGCCAAAGCTTCGAACAAAGCCCCAGGAGGCGGTGGCTACTGCAACATCAGCTTCCGCCAACGGAGCTTGAACGGCTGGAAGTGTCGCGGTCAAAGCGAGACCGCCTCCAACACCCGCGATTATCTGAAAGATGACCCATTTCGCGGTGGATGAAGACGCGTCTAGCAGAGTCAAGCAGCCTGCGCCAATAGCTAGGAGAGCGTAGCCGGCAATCATGGTAGGTTTATAATGACCAGTCTGTGCGACGATAAATCCGCCAACAATGCCGGCAGGCATCAAGGGAATGACAATCGCGAGGAGGTCAACACCAGACCTGATAGGGCTAGCTCCGAGAAGAACCTGAAAGTATATAGGAAGAAAGAAGCTCAGCCAGCTCATCTCAATACCGTGTAGGAAAGTGAGGATAAAAGACAAGAGCGATGTATTGTTGCTGTACACGCGAAGTGGCATCGTGGGATCTGCTGCAAAAAACTTCTGGTGAAACAAGAATGCCACCAAGCCTAAGATACCGATTAAAAGTGGCAATAGGACGTGCCATGACTTCCAACTGTATAATGTGCCACCCCAGGTTAGGCCGATCAGAACAGCCGTCACGGAGGCCATCAAAAGCATGTTTCCCAATAAATCGACTCTTGCTAGACGCGACCAAAGAGTACCCTCTCGTCTATAGTGTACGCGTAGAAAGAGTATAACCAGCACAAATGCCACCCCAGCAATGGGTAGATTAATGTAAAACACCCATCGCCAAGAGATTTTCGAAGCAATCGCGCCTCCGATTATGGGTCCAATGAATGTGCCCAGCGCGAAAGTTCCCATTATCATCGACATGTATTTCTGCCTCTCACGGAGAGGAACGAGATCCGCCACGATAATGTCGACCATAACAAATAGACCTCCTCCACCAAGGCCCTGGACAGCCCTTCCAGCAATGAGCATAGCGGTGTTACTGGCTCCTCCGCATAGCCCACTACCTAACGTAAACATAGCAATTGACACTATTAAAGGTATACGTCTGCCAAAAATATCTGAAGCCTGGCCATAGAGCGGTTGGACGGCCGCCATGGTCAAAAAATATGCGTTTACCACCCATATGTACAGGGCGCCTGACTGCAAATCCGCGACAATAGTGGGGAGTACGGTAGCTATGATAGAGGTATCGAGGCCGACGAGTAGGACGGAAAAACAAAGACCAGGAAAAACTGCCCAAAACCGCCAATCACGGTTTGGGCCGGCAGGCGATTGAGATTCTGAAGAAGATGTCATTCTCTGCCGTAGTTCGAACAGTATCGGACGGTAAATGTAGGGAAGAGTAATTGAGAGACTAAAAACACATTAGAAAGATGGGACCATGTGTAAGAAGTGTCGCTCGTCGAACAACTGTCTCGGGAAAAAACCGGGACGTGAGAGCTCCCTGTTCGGAGTGACAACCGTGATTAAGGCTAATGTCGAAATTTCTGCCCAGATGTTTCACCTACGGATTCAGTCACCGCCTACATCACATATTTTGTTCACCTGACTATTCGTATTCGCATGCAAAATGCTGCATTGGTTAAAGAGCTTGCTCGCCCGCCTACGGTTAGTGCCTGGTCGGAGGTCGGCACGCACGATCGACGCAGCGTTCCCCTTAAAGCTCCAAGGGCCAATGATTGCGTTCGCACCAGTGGATACGGTTTAGATTCGCCGCTCGGCTCTGTGACCGAGACTAGGCTTGAATGGGAGGGAAGGACTCAAAAGAGCCTGTCGTATTGCCCAGAATGGAAGTACGCAAAGGGTGGGCCTTAGGGCTGGGGCCATTTTGATCCTTCACACTGGCCACGTCAGACGGACCAGGCGGCCCGCTGTCAACCGCGCCACTGGACCTACTAGCTGTCATTTTCATGTAGCCTAATTCTGACCCCATACTCCGTATGGAGTAGAAAAGGGTCAATTATCGGCCTTGATCCGAATGACTATTTACGTATGCTAGCGAGAGCGGACTCGCAAAAGGCTGATGCATGACTCGAGACGCAGCAATCATCAGCTAGCGGCCGCCTTCTAACAAGACGTACACATCTTGACACTCGAGGGTAAATCGAGTCAACAAGTCATTTCTGGGGCTTGCTGACTTTTCCAATTTGCACTAACTAATGTATAGAACCACTTTGGGACGGCGTGTTGTATCGTTGTCGGCGTTAGTTTGGTGCCATCAATCATGGAAAAGTTTAAATTCATTTTTTCTAGAGGCATTTGCGCATTACCTCAATATGCGCAAAAAGTCCTATCGATCACAAGGCGTTTGTATTGGCGAGACCCTGTTTCCTACTGAATAGATCATATTTTGGGCTTGGGACTAGATCATGATAAATACACAATTCTGGTGTTCAATGTATCTAACCACATTTTGAGCCATTGAGAATCACGCCAAATACGGAGTTAGTTTCGTGTATGTAATTCAATTTGCGTTTTATATTTTGGTCTTCTAGATACTCAGTTTTAACAGACACGCTAAGACACCATCATCACAGCTACATGTCTAGAAGGCACGCCCAAATTCCATTGCAATAGTCATAGCATTTAAACTTCCTGAGCAGTCTTCCTAGAGCAGCGCACACGTAGTGGGTTTGCATTGTCTGGGTGATAACCAGAGAAATAATCGTCAAAAACAAGGTCTTTCGGTTGTGTTTGGTAAACTTCTAGGTCACCCAAGTTGCGAAACAGGACGGCTATAACAACGTAAATTTCGCAGTATGCCAGTCTTTAATATGTTAGCAATCTTTAACTAGCACTGATTATTATTGAGACTTACGGCATGCCAATGCACTGGCGGCTGTCTTTGCCGAAGGAGACCAAATATCGGCCCAGTTTGGCGGATTCGCTTGGGTTCACCCAGCGCTCCGGGTCAAATTTGTCGGGATCAGGAAATATCGTTGGAGAACGATGCATCATCCAAGTGGACATGCCCACGATACTCTGTATGATGATCAGTAACGCACGTCGTTTATACCTATCATGGAATGAGTACTAACGCCTGCTGGAAGGAAGTGGCCATTGAACTCTGCTCCACTGTCGGGAACTACACGAGGGAGTCTTCCAATCACTCCATATGACAACCGTAAACCCTCTTTGATGACTGCGGTCTAAATAGAAAAGTATTAGCTTTCAGCCGCCATTCTTTCAAAATTCGGTGGTCTCGGCTTACAAGGTATGGCAATTTCTCCAGGTCGGCCCAACCCATGGATGTCGTCTCGTCAGGATATGCAGCCAACAACTCCTCACGCAGCCGAAGATAGATATCTCTGTTGTTGAGAACATGAAACGTTGTTATTGAGAGGGCATTACCCGTTGCTGCGGCTGCTGCTACCATGATAGTCAAGGCTATATCTGTCATGTCATCGACACTAGGAGGAGTGGCTCCAGCCTGAACAGCTTCCGAGGTCAAGAGCTCATGGAAAATCGTTCTTCGGAGTGGTTTATCCTGCCCCAACTCAAGTTGCGTCTTGACTTGTCTCACTTTGTTACGTGTACTCTAAATAAGAATAAGTCAAACTCGTATCAATGAATGATTGCATTTTTCGGCTGGATTATACCTCTACCATTGTGTTGTACCTTCGAAATCTCGGTTCCATGCCAGAAACCCAAGTCGGCAGACTAATCGCTATGGTGTGAAGAGTAGAGGATTGCATGAAAAACCAAAACATCTTCAAAACTCCACGGATCATGTTCGCAAAGTCTCTTCCATAAGTCTCTACATTGAGAAGATTGTAAGAATCATGAAACGAGTAGTCACTCGCAACATCAACGCTTAAAGCAGAGAATAGATCATGAAGCTCAACGACGCCTTTCGCATCAAGATCATCTTTTAGCCGAGCTAATAGTGTGCGTGCCTTTTCCTGGACCACAGGCTCTAGGGCTAGTACTGCTCGTCGGGAAAAGAACGGGTTTAATTCTGCTCGCCGAGTAGCATGCAACTTATTGGGAACTGTAGTGAAAAATGCTGCGGGAGCTCCAAATACACGGTAATAGTTGGGTGACTTCCAGTATTTGCTACCCATATGGTAGATCTTGCTGTAATTCTCAGGGTCACTTAGTGAGACTTCATCTGGGTTAATTCGGACAACGGGGCCTATACTCCTGTCAGTCTCTGAGATTGTAGCTTACGGAGAAGGTAAAAAACAACATCATCGTGCCGATGGCAAAAGGATTAGGCTCTTACCGTATTTTTTGTGAAGCTGCTCGACTTTTTGATAGTATCGACTTTCATTCTTATGATATGAATAGTAAGTCTGGTAGAGTTGAGTAATGGCAGCTAATTTGGGTCCAGGGATTTTCGCGAGCGGATGGAAGGTCAATCTGTAGATAGCAACAGCCGTCACCCAGATAAATACTGCAAATGAAACGAAGATGTACACTGAGATGGACTCCATGATCAATTATGGTGCAGACAGAGTTTTGATCACGGTATTGATGCTCGGTCTCCTTACATTCAGCCCTTTTTGAGTATTTTCTTATTCAGGTCATTGAAAGGATGCATTTATTACATGAGCCCGCCAACTTGCGCGCCAATTTAAAGGAACAGTCGTATGATCTTACTAGCTGCACGTCGCGCTAGCCGAAAGCCTAATTACCAAGTCTGAATCATGAACGATACATGAATTCCTTGGGGCCAGAAGCGGACCGAGAGCCATGTGTAAGAAATCGTATGACGGATTACTGTGTGCACGAGATACATTTACTCAGAACAGGCCCGGAAATTGACCACAAGTGGAAACCATACAACCAACTTGTGGGAAATTCTAGCTTGTAACTATATCAATCATATTTAAGACATCAGCAAGGAATAGTAAATCCAATCTAAGAGTGTAAATTACGTACTACTGCCACAACAAACTGTGGGGGCGACGCACGATCGGAATGCAAGAGCCGTTCGTTCAGAGAGCTATCATATGGTAAGCTCTCAACGCCTGGGGAATTTCTGTTTTACAACTTTTGATTTATTGTCTACTATCATAATTTTATTTTCTTGCTGCCCGCCATGCGACTCCTTTGTCTCCACGGCCATGGAACAAATTCGCAGATTCTTGAGGCACAGTTGGAGCCACTACGAAGCCGCTTGCCAGGGCATTGGGAGTTTGAATTTCTAGACGGGGAGATGGATGCTCCTCCACCTGCAGGTATAGTGCGCTAACATTAAGGAAATCCGAAACTGATTCTGAAAAATGCATTACTCTAGGTATCAGTGAAATCTTCCCTGGACCTTATCTCTGTTATCATGGAGAACCTATTCCAGAGGATGTACAAGCCGCCTATGAAATGGTCTTGAGCGTCGTCCAAGAGGAGGGACCGTTCGACGGAGTGATAGGATTCTCCCAGGGAGCAGCAGTGGCATCGACGATGATTGCAGCTGAGGCAGAAAGAAACCCTGAGTCCGAGCCATTCAAGTTCGCCATTTTCTTTTCCGCAACGATGCCGTTCGACTTATCAGCTGGACAATTACATCTAACTCTCATTGGTGATGACCTGACAGCAGTTCACCAAGACTCTGATGGTGAGGATCTGAAAGACAATGACATCGACTGGCTCAAGGATTGTCGATCAGTAGGAGTGATTGAGGAGTTTGAATCCAGAAGACCTCGCATCGCTGGGGCATCGCAGGAACCACAGAGCATTGATGTTCTTCTGCGCTTTCACCCATCTACACACGGACAAAGAATTCACATTCCAACTGTTCACATCATTGGGCTCAATGACAGTATGGCGAACCAAGGAAGAGATTTGGCTGGAATCTGCGATCCAAAGCTTGCACAGATTGTCACTCATGATGGAGGGCATCAATTGCCTAGAGATGCAGGAACTGTAGGCAAGGTAGCGGAAGCCATCCAATGGGCTGTGGAGCGTACTATTTTTTGTAACTAGAAATCAAGAATAGAAGCTAACATCATATTTTGCTTATTAAAGATAGATAATAGTAAGAACTACACCGAACAATGGTAAGGGAGCATCGGAGGTCTTCTACTTAGTAAACGCTGTCGAATCTTCGGTACGTTGGGAATTTATCAAAGCGCCACTCACAAACACCGATCTTACCTAAAAACCCGTGTTATAGCCTAGTCATTCGATAACAAAATAATAAAGTTACAGCTACATCCTGCACTAAGTATCAGCCCAAGCCACGAGGCGACCGCATGATACTATAGTAGGAAACACCTCATGTCAGTGGACCGTTGGGGTTTTTAAAGCGAGGGTCCGCGCTGTATAATGGTGCTACCAGCATTACGTATAATACCTGCAATATAGAAGACTAGAAAAACTTTATCTGAAAGTAAATTAAAGCTGACTGTGCAGTGTGTATGGGGCGACCAGCCAATTGACATATCGGAGACACTACAACGGGGACTCGCGGGGGAGCGGAGTGCGCGAGGCCGACGCGACGTTCGGATGTTCGAGTTTTTTTTTTCATGTTAAGCGCCAACCAACATCCGACTGGTGTATCATCAATTGCCGAATTAAGAATAATGTCAGCTTCTCTCAGCCGATCTGTTGGGGTTCGTACGGCGTATAACGACCTATCACTGAATTACGAGGTCACTCGTCTTACTGAACTTACGATTTTTAGAGCGGTCAGGTAATGCTCAACTAACACCCAAAAAGAGTCTCATATGTGCGTAAATTCGAAATTCCTCTTAGGGGACAAAAAGCGGAGAATTCATAGACCATCTGTATTAGCCTGGTACTGGGTGCTGAGCTTCCTCGTATATCATCTTCAACGGCGCTGACAGCGTTTGTAATGACAAATTGAGGTAATTCTGAAACAGGCAGGGAGAGCTATGCCTGAGAGCATATACCCTACCCTATATAAAACTAGTTAATTGGTATAAGATATTCTCGAACAGCCTCCGAATACTACCAATTGTATTTTCTCTATAAGACTTCAGACCCCCCTACTAGATATAGGAAATTGCAAGCCAAGAACATTTATTCACACTTTACTTGGGCTCTAAATTCACTCAACTTGAATACCATGGCTGATTATGAAAGTATTCTTTCGAAACTCGCGGATGATGCCTCCATGCCGATTGCAGTAGTTGGTATAGGAGGCAGATTCCCGGGTGAGGCAACGAACCCTGAGAAGTTCTGGAATATGATCTACAATTCAAGACACGCTCTTACCGAAGTGCCCAAAGATCGATTTAACATCGATGCGTTCTATCATCCCTACGCTGAGCGTCAGGGAACAATGAACGTGAGGGGGGGTCACTATCTTACAGAGGATGTCGGGCTTTTTGATGCCCCATTCTTCTCGATCACTGCAAAAGAGGCCAATGCCATGGACCCTCAACAGAGGCTCGCGCTTGAGGTTGCGTACGAGAGTCTCGAAAATGGTATGTTGTAGCTCACACATTTCATTTTTTAAAACTCTGTGTTAATCCTCAATAGCTGGAATGCGCATGGAAGATGTATTAGGGTCATCTATGGCCTGTTATATGGCATCGTTCACCAGAGATTATGCAACTCTTCGAGGTCACGATGCTGAAGATATTCCGTAGGCAGCCGTTCTGATATGATGATGATGCACAATAACTGATTGGTGTCTATAGACGTTACGAGGGAACAGGAAACGGATCTGCCATGATATCCAATCGCATTTCATGGTTTTTTGACCTCAAGGGTCCTAGCTTGAGTTTGGACACAGCATGTTCTTCATCGCTGGTAGCTTTACATCTTGCATGCCAAAGTATCAGAACAGGAGAGACAAACACTGTAAGTCATACGTATCCCTCAGGGGTATCCTTCCACTGAAAAGAAAACGCATTCAAATAGGCTCTAGTGGGTGGAACGAATTTGATTCTGATGCCGGAGATGCAAACTGCAATGACTTCCTTAAACTTCTTGAGCCCAGACAGCAAGTCTCAGTCATTTGATCATAAAGCCAACGGTTATTCACGTGGTGAGGGTGCCGCTGTCATCGTCATCAAGTCTCTTGCCGATGCCATCCGGGATGGCAACACTATTAGAGGTGTAATTAGGGGTACTGCAGTGAACCAGGACGGCAAGACTCCAGGTACGCATCGTAACCTTGTCAGACTCCAGAAGACAAGCCAATTAACACAATTCAAGGTATCACCCTACCATCGGCGAAGGCTCAGGAAGAACTTATCAGAGCTACATATGCCAGCGCAGGCTTGGACTTTGATTCCACCGAGTACTTTGAAGCTCACGGAACAGGTAAAGGGGTCATGAGATGTAGTAACTGATAGATGCTGACATGGTTTATTTCAGGAACTGCGGCTGGTGATCCCCTAGAAGCGTCGGCCATTGCCGCTACTATCAGTGCATCTCGCCCTAAAGACAAGCCTCTACTTATAGGATCTGTGAAGACAAATATCGGTCATATGGAGGGAGCTAGTGGTTTGGCTGGACTCATCAAAGCTCTATTCGTTTTGGAAAAAGGCATAATCCCGCCCAATCTTTGGTTCGAGAAAGCAAACCCACGTATTCCAATGGAGAAATGGCGTCTCAAGGTCAGTCTTTTTTATCTAAATGGAATAATTGTCTTGTCGCTAACGAAACCTTGCTTGTTACTAGGTACCTACAAAACTTGAGATGTGGCCGACCAAAGGGCTTCGTCGCGCAAGTGTCAATTCCTTCGGTTATGGAGGTACAAATGCTCACTGCATTATTGATGATGCGCGCCATTATCTGGAGTCTCGTGCCCTGGATGGGGTACATAAGACTGTTGATTATCCCTCAAGTATAGACACCGAAGGAAGCACGGATAATAGCGAGGGAAGCAATGATGATAGTAGCAGCACAAACAGCGACTTTCAGCAGACGCCTCTAAGCGGATCCGAAATATCTGATCCACAGAAAGAAATTTCGCTTGAATCATTTGATCATCCAAAGCTCCTTGTCTGGACATCTCATGACCAGGTTGGCACTGACAGAACAGCAAAACAAATCATTGATTATATTCAGGCCAGCACTGATGACAATATCGTCTCTGATCTTGCTTTTACCTTTTCTGAGCATCGTAGCAGAATGCCTTGGAAGACATATACTGTGGCGTCATCGGCTACAGAGCTATCTACAAGCCTCAGCAAGCACATACCGAAGCCGGTGCGATCATCGCAGGTTCCAAATTTGTGTTTCATTTTCACTGGGCAAGGTGCACAGTGGTTTGCCATGGGTCGAGAATTGCTCGCGTACCCATTGTTTAAAGAGCGCCTTGAGACTGCATCTAACGCTTTCAAGGCCTTTGGTAGTTCTTGGTACCTTCTTGGTAATTTCTGCCTCTCTCTATCCCTCTTTTCAATTAGATCTTCATGTCCATCAAGACGGACAAGCCACTTGTACATCCCGGACTAATTGATTTAATAGATGAGTTGCTCTTGAGTGAAGAAGAGTCTCGCATCAACGAGTCTGCAATCAGCCAGCCGGCTTGTACAGCCCTACAGGTGGCCCTGGTTGATCTTTTGGCCGAATGGAACATCAAACCGTCCGTTGTGATCGGCCACTCAAGCGGAGAAATTGCCGTAAGATGGCTCCATCCATTTTTATATGATCATGAACAAATCTGATGTAATATTCTATACTCACAGGCAGCTTACGCCAAAGGGGCAATTTCCCGCGAGGATGCATGGACTATAGCGTATCACCGAGGTCATCTCTCTGGCAGCTTGAAGACGAAAGGTGCAATGCTAGCGGTAGGCCTCGGAGAAAACGATGTCCAGTCTTATCTCGACCAAGTCTCTCCAGATCATGGTCATGTTGTCGTGGCATGTATCAACAGTCCATCCAGCGTTACTTTGTCTGGAGATCTATCCGCAATTGCCGAGATCAAGACTCTTCTTGATGCTGACAATGTCTTTAATCGTAAACTAGCTGTCAATACAGCATATCACTCTCCACATATGCAAGCCTTGGCTGATGCATATACACAATCGCTTAGCGGTTTGAAGCCATCGAGGTCAGCAGAGAAGTCAAATGTCACCATGTTCTCGTCTGTCACGGGAGGAATCGTTGATGACGCGACACTCGCAACCCCGCAGTACTGGGTTTCGAATATGGTGAATCCCGTCAAATTCAATCATGCTGTTAAGGCAGGGTTAGAATTCAGCCCGAGCAAGAGACGCACGGCGGGTAACGCTCAGTACGTGAACCAATTCGTGGAGGTAGGACCGCACTCCGCTCTACAAGGGCCACTGAAACAGATCCTGGATGCCGGCCAAGGAAAGAAAAGATATGAAGTACCCTACGTGTCTATTCTCTCGAGGGGTAAAGATGCTGTTCGGTGTTGTCTTGATTCTCTTGGTAAATTATTTCAGCGGGGTTATCCTGTTGATGTATCCCGTATCAACGGAAGTCAGAATGATAATCAGAATCCTCGCTTGTTGACAAATCTGCCGCCATTTGCATGGAATCATTCTACGCGTTACTGGTACGAATCAGCTGTCTCCGCAGCATTTAGACACCGCAAACTACCCCGATACGACCTTGTTGGTGTATTGAACGAGCATTCAACAGACGTTGAACCTTTCTGGACTAATTACCTGCGTGTTTCCGAAGCACCGTGGATCGAGCACCACAAAGTCCAAGGAACGATATTATATCCTCTGGCTGGTATGATTGTTATGGCGATTGAAGGAGCTCGTCAGATTGCGGACCCTACGAAAGAAATTGCTGGATTCCAGGTACGAGATGTTTCGGTCGGCAAAGCTATGGTCCTTCATCCCGAACTTCCTACCGAAACGAAGCTCCAATTTAGACCATGGAGAGCTGGTAGCCGTCTGTCGGATTCATTTTGGCATGAGTTTACAATCTCATGCCGAACTCGCCAGGGAGTATGGACTCAACACTGTGCTGGTTTGGTAGCCGTCAAGTACGAGACGGAACAAAACCCAACGTTTGCAGATGAGGAGGCTGCTGCTGCTAAACGGCACCATGATGAGTATATTCGACTATCCACAGCTGGGTTCAATCCTGATGATCCTCGTCAAGTTTATGCTTCAGTAAGTTCTTCACTCTCCTGTCTACTCGTTTTTTGTCTCTGATCTATACATGAATACTGACTCAGAATTCCTCCACAGCTGGCCGAGCTTGGTCTACAATGGGGTCCTACCTTTACAGGCCTGGTCCATATTAGCTCTGGAGACTACGAAGCTCACTGCGAGCTCGAAATCCCAGATACCAAGAAGTATATGCCGGAAGCTTTCGAATATCCACACATTGTTCACCCAGCTGCTTTAGACGCATTTATTCAGATGGTTATTCCTGCGTCTACGCCAGCTGGTGTTCAGCTTCAAAAAGCCAAGATCCCTCGATTCATCGAAAGCTTGTATATCTCCAGTAAAATCAGCTCTACACCTGGAACTCGATTCTACGGCTACTCCAAGTCTAAGCCATACGGCTTCAACGAATCAATCGGTACCATCGTGGCATCGGACCGTGAATGGAAGGAGCCCATGGTCGTGATCGATGGCTGCAGAATTGTCACCCTAGAGAACATGGCCGATGGTATGAACACAGATGCAGCTGGAAGCTCTACGTTCTTGAGAAAGCTTGGTTCCCACCCTAAGTGGGATCTTGATCTCGAGCACTTTCATTTGGAAAAAGCTAGAAAGTTTTTCGCACCGTATGGTGAAAAAGTGGCAGATGCAGATTTGAACGTCATTCGCGATTTGGAGCTCGCATCTTTCATCTTCTGCAAGAGGATACTAAAGCAATTTTCTCCGTCTGACGCAAAAGCTTTTTCTCCTCATCACCAATTGTTCTATGAGTACATGCAGCACCGATATGAACTTGGAGAGCAAGGAAAGTTGGATTGTCAAGAGAAGGATGACATTGACTGGCTGAATACTACTCCATCCTTTGAAGAAGATCTTCTGTCAAGGGTATCGGAGGCTACAATTGATGGCAAGGTTCTCTGTCATCAGGGCTCACAATTTGACAAAATTCTTCGTGGGGAAATAGAGCCTCTTCAGGTCCTAATGCAGGATTCTCTTTTGACCCAATACTACCGAAATGCTCTAGGGACGGATAAGTGGAATCCCATCATTGCCAAATTTGTTCAACTCCTCTCTCACAAGAAGCCTCTCAGGATTCTTGAGGTCGGAGCGGGAACCGGAGGCACCACGTCCGTGATTTTATCAGCACTTGGCCAACGCGAGGATGCTGCTAATTGGCTTGAATCTTACACTTTCACGGACATTAGTAGCGGTTTCTTCGGTGCCGCTGCTGCCGACTTCCAAGAATGGTCGCCATTTCTAGAGTACAAGGTTCTTGACATTGTAAAGGATCCTATAGAACAAGGCTTGCCCTCTCACGCTTATGACTTGATCGTTGCAAATAACGTTTTGCACGCGACTTCATCGATCAGCGCATGTCTTGCTCACTGCAAAGAAATGCTGAAACCGTATGTGCCTTTTGATCGTGTTTTCGGTAACCCAAGCTTAGTATGATAACTAACGAAACTGATGCAGCGGTGGTGTCTTGCTTCTTGGAGAATTAACCACAACCCTTGCTAGGGTCCCCATGGTCTTTGGAACACTTTCGGGATGGTGGAGTGGTACGCAATATGTTTTTGTTGATTTTACAACTTGGCTAACTTAATAATTCTACAGGTGAGCAGGATGGCCGGAAATGGGGTCCTAGACTGTCCGAGAAACTGTGGGATAAGAATCTCCGCGAACAGGGATTCAGTGGTCTCGATATGTGCTTCAGGGACCACAGTACCGACGCTTACTCTATCTCCTTGATGCTTTCAACAGCCGATCCTATCCCCGAGGCTACACTTCCCAGTAACTTTACTATTGTCGTACCGGAAAGTGATGGAACACCTGCCCATAAATTGGCCGCCACACTATCAGCAGATCTCTCGGTGGCTGGGGCTAACACTCAACAAGTCTCCATATCCAATGTTTCTAACGTGGATTTAGCAGGTCAGACTTGTATTTCGTTAATTGAAGCAAATGAGCCATTGCTTCACACAACCGGTGAGAAAGATTTCGCGGCGGTCAAACACATATTACTCACCTCTGAACGAACTTTGTGGATTACCAACGGAGCTGCTATGGATAGTGAGTGTCCAGAAGGCAACCTTATTGCGGGACTAGGTCGTACTATTCGAAGTGAAATTCCATCTATGCAACTTACCACCCTAGACTTGGATCCAAACAGTCAGCTAGACTCCAAGACTCATATAACAGCGATTAGTCAAGTTCTTCGATCTATGACCAAGAACGATCTGGAATGGGAGTATGCACTGCGGCAAGAAAAGCTACACTCACTACGATTAGTGCCCGACAAGACCTTGAACGCGATGTTCGAGACAAGCAAGATGGAGCCACCAGCTGTCACGCTCCCTTTCAACCAGCCTGGTCGTGCACTTGCTTTAGCTGTCAAGACTCCCGGCATGCTAGATACGTTCCAATTTGTTGATGACAATGAATATTCAAAGCCTTTAGGTGCCAAAGAACTGGAAATAGAAGTCAAGGCTGTCGGCATGAACTTCCACGATGTCATGATCGCAATGGGTCAGATCGCTGATACTGATCTCGGTGTTGAGTGCAGTGGTATTGTCACCCGTGTTGGCGCGGATGTCACCAAATATAAGCCCGGCGATCGTGTTATTACCTTCCGTTTGGGTTGCTATCGCACGTTCCTGCGTAACCCGGAGGAGATGTTCCAGAAAATGCCAGATTCCATGTCCTTTGAGGTCGCGGCATCTATTCCTTGCATCTACAGTACCGTTTACTATTCGTTATTCGATGTCGCCCGTCTACAGCGTGGTGAGACAATCCTCATTCACGCAGCTGCAGGTGGTCTGGGTCAAGCTGCTATCATTCTTTCTCAACATATAGGGGCAAAGATTTTCGTGACCGTTTCATCTGAAGCGAAGAAACAGTTCTTGATTGATACATATGGCATTTCCAAGGACCATATTTTCAATAGTCGAGACCATAGCTTTGCTACCGGTGTTAAGCGCATGACCGGTGGACGAGGTGTTGATGTAGTACTCAACTCGTTGGCAGGAGAGGCATTGCGTCAGACATGGCTCTGTGTGGCACCATTCGGACGCTTTATCGAGCTTGGAAAGAAGGATATTGGTAAGTACATGAAAGAGTTTTATATACGATAGTCTGGCTGCTGACAATACCCTAGTTGGAAATACTGGTATTGACATGAGCCCATTCATGAACAACATCATATTTGCTGGTGTCAATATGTTGTCTGTATATCGCGACAATATTCCCCTGTTTGGACGCATTATTGCAGATGTGATGAAATGCCTAGCTGATGGCATCATTCGCCCCGTTCAGCCGCTGAAAGTCATGAACTTCTCTCAAATCGAGGAAGCCTTCCGTATCATGCAGACAGGAAAGCATATTGGTAAGATGGTGCTGAGCGCCCAGCCTGATGATCTAGTACCGGTATGTAATGAAAGCTCATCTCGTGTGACCTAATAAAATCAAACAAATCATGCTAACATTGCTATAGATTGTTCCTCAAACCATAAAGCCTTATTCATTCCCCGAGAATGCCACGTACATGATTCCTGGTGGGCTGGGTGGTCTCGGTCGCGCGATAGCCTACTGGATGGTGCAACAGGGTGCTCGACATATCGTCTTCACCTCTCGTTCTGGAGCAACAAAACCAGAAGCTCAAAAGCTTCTAGCAGAACTCCACAAAATGGGTGCAAAGACCATGGCATTTGCCTGCGACATCAGTAAGGTCTCCGAATTGCAAAAGGTTCTCACTGCTATAGACAAGGAGTTCCCGCCGATCAAGGGTGTCATAACCTGTGCTATGCAGCTTCAGGTAAATATCTACTACCTTATTTAATGCTATAGAACTACTTACTGACACTTTCGTCTAGGACGTTCTATTCGAGAACATGTCGGTCGATGACTTCCACGCCGCTGTTCGCCCCAAGGTTCAAGCTACCAGAAACCTCCACGACATGTTGCCCAAGGACATGGACTTTTTTGTTTGTCTATCATCAACAGGAGGCATCGTTGGTTCCCGAGGTCAAGGAAATTACAATGCTGGTAACACGTTCCAAGATGCTATCGCCAATCACCGCCGCGCCCACGGACAAAGTGCGACAAGTATCAATCTCGGTGTTGTTCTCGGTATTGGTATTACAGCTCAGAGAGGAGAGATTCTGTCATACCTTAAAACAGGTGCGATGATTGGTATCCACGAACAGGAGGTCTTGACAACTATCCAAGCTGCCATTGCCGGTCAACTTCCAGCCCAGGTTGTTGTTGGACTTGCAACCGGTGGTCTACTCAAGCAAAACGGCCACGATGATCCATTCTGGTTCAGTGAGCCCCGTTTCGGTCCACTGCGCATATACGATACGCAAGAACTCGGCGTGGCCAAAGGCGGTAGCTCAGACGATGAACAGCTTCAAACATTGCTTGGTGAGGCCAAGACTATGGCTGAGGCTACAGAGGCTGTATGCACTGCCCTCGTGCGCAAGCTTGCCAAGGCTATGATGATAGAGGTGGAGGACCTGGACTCTTCTCGTCCAGCAAACTCTTATGGAGTTGACAGTCTCGTGGCTGTTGAGGTACGTGCCTGGATCTTCAAGGAAGTCAAGAGCGATGTATCCGTCTTTGAGATTTTGAGCAACACGCCTTTGCTGTCATTGGCAGCCAAAATTGCGTCGAGGTCTACTCTTGTGTCTCCAAGTATTCGTGGAGACGTTAATGAAGCGTAAATATTGCTTTATGAGAATGGATGATATAAGCTGATTTTTGGAGCTCAATATGTGACATTCTTTGGGGACAGTAGAAGGATTCTGTATTAGAATAGATTGAAATGTTTTTTTTTCCTTTTAGGTATATAGAGGTCTTATGATCATCACTAATCGGTATTACCTTGTTACAATGTTGAACATCGATAGTAAGAAATTTAAAAGAGAAACCTTTCGAAGTAATGTCACGTGTGACCACTGTAGAGGCTCTCAATATTACAATACGAGTTATATAACAAGAAAACTTGTTATTGAATGGATACGTCTTTCTTGATCAGTCGTTTCTTTGCTTATTGCATATTAACATTGAAAATAAACATAAAGGAAGTCATAAGCCTTCGATCTAGAGGGCCATGACATACATTCAAGCAGTGCATTATAGATACGTTCGTGTTACTATCTGTGATATGTGCTTTCAAGTTTGACAACTAAGCTTCTTGATCATATTAATAGATGGCGGCAAGTGGCTGCGCAGAGGGAATTCCCCATGTGCCTCTTACGAATATTGGTGAACACTGTTAGGACTGAGTAAGTTAGATTGCCATATTCTAACTAAGCCATGTTAGTATCTACTACCTTATATTTGTAAATTTCCGTCTATGATTGTGATGTTAGATCATTGATGTTGTCGAAGATCGTACAGCTATCATCGTTCTCACACACAGTCGTTCGCTCCAAATTCTTAGCCACGGGGCCGGTAGGTCCGCTGGTGTAATGGCACTCCGTAGAAATACACCATTGACCAGTTTCCAGGTCATCAAGAACGTCGTCCGGGTACTGCTCGTCACCCCATTGCCCTTCCCAGCTAAGCCACGTGGCCGTCTCATCGGCCTCTTCGGAAGCACCTATGCCGGCGCCTGATGCAACACTGAATTCCGCAGTGTCAACATCGTACCAGTAGCCACGGTAATTCAGAGTCATGTCCCAAAGATATCCAGCATCGGTGTGGTCGGTAATCAAGCCCAAAGCAATAGTATACTCCTGTGAGCCGGCGGTCACATAGTTGGCATGCCCACCGTAAGCGACATATGTGATGGGACGGTCGCCGTCAAAAGTGACAACGTCCCAGTAGTAAGCAGAGCCAGCGCTGTGCTCCGAGCAGTAAATGGCGTAAGGTTCTCCATTTACAAAGCGAATCTGACGACTGATTAGGTCTGATATTCGAGAAAACGAAAGCAATTTCCAACGTACCATTACGTGCTCCCAATCACCAACATGGTCGTCAGTATTGACGCCTAAAACACTGTGAAGGCACAAATCAGTATTTGCGGTGTACACATACTGGATCGAACGCGATAAGCAGTAAACTCACGTCCCACCATAGTTGTAAGAATAGAAGTAAAAGTAAAAGACATCTGTAGTCGTGCTGTTCTTTTCGACGGCAATGATAGTACCTGGGGCTGTGCTGAGCCCAGTACTGTCGGGAATACCGTAGTCTGAAAGGGCCCAGGCAGGAGTGCTATTCAGAGGATTCAAGATGGGGCCGTCCGATGCTGTCAAGTAAACATCGGAAGCGTATGTACTAAGCGTGTCGAGTGTAACAGAGCCACTACCTCCGCTAGCCACATAGTTAACTTCAGGTTGAACGTTCTCAAGATGAGTTTTGATATCGGAAGGGAACCATTTTTCCCCACTGTACAGGTATGATAATGGCGCGTAGGTGATAGCGTAGTCAGGCAGTGCATCACGCTTTTGAAGCTTGGAATGAGGTACAGCGCTGGCAAGTCCAGCAAAAACCAGAAAGATTGACAACTGGTAAATGGAAACCATTTTGTAGATGTTTGTGGGGTTGATTCAATGCCCCGGTGCGAACTTCGAGTTTTGACAGGAGGATATCAGGCTCTTATATACTTGTTTCCATCTAAGGCCTTCAATAGATTTTCCCCTCTTACCAACGCGCAATGCTTTCAGCTTGATCTGCAGGAATTTATTTAGCCGTCCCCGAAGAGGAAAGATGCCCGGTTTAAGCACACATAGCTCGATGTTTAGCTTCAAATGCGTAGCTGCAGGCACTAATCAACACCACTGCGTGACATGAATCACATGCTACCGTCAACACTTTTCTTTTTCACCCATGACGAGTCAGCAGCTGTCGTTTGACTTGCCGCGCTAATTATACTCTACCCTTTATATTAACGCGATCGCAAATTGTCGATAAGGTTCTTACAAAAATACAACAGACTAAAATTACAAGTAGTAGGAAGCTCGGTATCAGGATGAATGAAAAATTCCTATACTAAATGCAAAAATGTATCGACGAAGCTCGATCATGTAGATGTACCCTGCCTGTCATCTAGTGGAGGGATTTAGCCAGTGGATTGTCAACGTTTCATCGGTCTACTCATTAGCACAGGCCCTAGATCCAGTCAGATCTTTCGATTTGACATCGTGATTCCAACAACCAGTTTAGTGCTGCCATGTGTTCGTTCGATAGGTTATTGTATAGCCGTGATCGGAATCAGGACCAACCTCCATAGTCACTGCGGATTGCAGCATAAATAAGCATCGGGTCTCGACTCAATGTGATGCGTTTAACGCGATGTGCCGGACCATTCGGCAACATCAAGCTTTATTAGTGCCTAAGTGCCTGCGGGGTATCTTATTGCAGGTGACGTACACACGATCTTGCATATCATTGTGCATAATATGTTTGCGTGCTGTACAGAGTACTAATACGTACGTACATATCAAGAAGCAGGCTCCTATTTTCAAGTCCCGAAGCGATGTAACGGGTGGCGTCATCGGCGCTGTCTCTGCGACTGATGTTTCTTTTTCCTTTCCATCTTGACTGCGATTTTGACTGCGATTGGCAAAAGCCCACGATTCCAATGCGTTAGACAAGACCTGGCGTTGACAGGTTTGGTCACTGGACGGTTCTGATCATGATTTGCAAGATCCCGGTACACTGTATACTCCAACGCGGCAGATGGTGGACGCGTTTCTGCGTAGCTACAATACGCAGCCTTAGTTTGGCAGTCTAGGAATTCAGAGTTCGTTCTTTCGGGCGCTTAAAGTCGAGCATGTGAGTCCACGCCTCAAAGGACATTCCCAATCCTGGTATGGGACTCGCGTGTCAACCTAATAGACCTCTGACATGAATGTCTGCGAATTATCGGGAGAGTTCGCTTTGGACTCCAACGGGAAGCTCTTGCGGCACGGAAAAGGCTTTCTCCGAAAGTTCAGCTCAAAACCCTGACCCTAAACCCGATCACGTTAGACTTAGACGAATGACTCTATTCGTCGATAGTCTTAGTGGGGTCTCATGATGGTAACTGAATTTTGATTGATTGGACCCAAATCTACGATATTAACCACCACCACCACCACCACCACCACCAATCCCGGTCCATCTTTCATCTGTACCCCCTTCATCATGTATGACTTGATGAGTTCCAACATGTGACTATACTCATGTCATCTGGTCGCGCCAAGACTTTTCGATATCACTTCCCCCGTCGCTGGCGCCGTACTCACTCGTCTTCGGTGCTATTTTCTTCCGGGGAATACCGTGCAATTCCCAATTAACTAGTAGTACATAGCGTGACTTGGTTTGGCTTGGCAAGGKGCCTAGATCTCTGACTAACATGGAAGACTTAGGCCACTTTGTATCGGCGTTTCATTCTCACCAAATCTTAACCACACAAAAATCGTTTGATCGGCTTTCCTCCTGAACAGTTTACTCGCCATGGAACATCAACCTGTGAGAATTCCCGCCGTGGAAATTGCTTGGTGTCCACTAACCTCTCTATAGGCTCACTCTTTGCTTGGGTGCCCCGTAGAAGTGTGCCATCTTGTTTTTTCATACCTGTCCCGAGCCGATTTCGTCAATCTTTGCCTTGTCCATAGCAGCTTGCGCACGCTTGCTGAACCATTTTTATATGCGAGTATCCAGCTTAAATGGGATCCAGATCGAAGACAGCGAGAACCGCAGCCTCATCTCATCACGTCGGTATTGCGCAGCCTGTTGCGTCGGCCGCAGTTGGCTACCTACGTCAGAGCAGTCTCTTTGGTCGGATCGTATTTTCATAATTCCACTACGAATGTAGGTCCTCTCAAAATCTCAGTCTCAGAGAACGAGCTCGATTTTATCCGCGCGTTCGTGATGAAGACCACTGTTGCATATCGCTGGTCATGGTTGGAGGAGCTACAGAATGGAGTAATGGATGCATTCGTTGCTATTCTACTATCTCAGCCGTTGCGTCTTGGGACTCTTTTAGTCAAGGGCTCCTTTCTCTGTGATAGTAAATTCATTGGCCTCGTCTTCCGCTCGATGATATTCGAACCCGATGCCTATCATCGTGGCCTACGACTCGATCTACGTCAACTGGAGATGGTTACTCTACAGACTTCTTGCCATCATTTCAGGCTACAGAACACCGCAAGGAATACAGCAGATCTTCTGCCTATTCTTTATCTACCATCTATTAGACAATTCTCAGCATCAATTGATAATCCAACCACATTCACATGGCCAGCAACCAGCCCGCCATCTCCTTCAAGACTTCACAGTTTGACCTTGTATGATATACGAGAACCCTTTCTGGGACAGCTACTTTCGGTTACCGATCATCTTCAATTTCTTCATTGGCAATGGTACTACTATCATCAAGCTTACGAGAGGCGATTTTGTACGCGTACTCTGGATTTGACCCAAATTACAGAATCGTTATCCCGAGTTCAAGATACACTGACTGACCTTGTTGTCTCGGCTATCAATCAATATGACCCTGAACCACTGTCACTGACTATCCGAGGCTCGATGCATGGATTGGTCGGTTTTAAAAAGTTGAAGAAGCTTACTTTGCCGTTCATATTTCTCGTGGGAACATGGTCTGCAGATCTGACCAAGAGAATAGATCGTTGCCTTCCTCCGACCCTTGAAAGTCTAACCATTACTGATGACCTATGCTCAAACGATGAGTGCGAATGGCATGAATACGACACCGATTTATTCACTGTACTCGAATTATGGTTGAAGACTTATCAAGCCACTACCCCTTGTATACGTGATGTAAATATCCCGATTAGTCACACAGACGAGAATACAACCCATGCTCAGAGGCTGGCTGAGCTTACAAAAGGAGTTGTGAGAGTCCAGCTTCTACTTTAATCGTCCCTGAACCGAATAAGCTGTTAGAGACTACGGCGGTGATAGAAACGTCCAGTACTTCTACTATTTTACATTGCATGGGGAGTGATATGCATGGTTTACCACCATAGTCATCAATAATTGTGATTGATATTTCTTGTGAAAAAAGATAGATCGCTCGCTTATAGATATTCACCCTTACTTGGCTGTATTCAAATTTACCATGTAATAAACTCTATTACACCCTATTTATTGGATGTTCACAATTGCAAATAATTGATATGGGGAGCGCTAAAGAATTGTATCCCCTTATCCTGTGTTTCCMACAACGCAGTCATTCATGGGCTCAAAAGTTCCTGAGGGAGCCACACAATTGCACTTGATCCTTACTGGCAAACCCCCCCCCCCCCTCCCCCCTCCCCTCC